TCACTCCGACCATATCGCGACGGCTCGCCTAATTCTCCATCTGGATTTGCGGTCCATAGACGGGGAGATCTAGTCGAACCTTCCCGCCTTTGTCCCGGAGATCTCGAAGATGTACGTCTAGCCCTTAGCAGCCGACCATCCCACCTATCCTGGATTGGATCAGGAGGGTCTACACTGGGATCTTCCTCATCTTCGTAATCCGATCCTTGCGCCCAGGCATAGATAGAAGTTGACGAGCGAGAGCGGGTTTCGTAGTTGGCAGCAATGTTAAAGGCGTCTCGTTGGGGCCGAACAATAGGAATGCGACTGTTTACACCAACAGCCGCAGGCGGCCTTCGATGATAACTTGGATCCATATCACTATTCAATTCATCTTCCAATGACTGTAGCTGGTGTCTGCGGCTTCGAACACGGCCTGGAGGTGAATCGAGGGAGGATGGCATGTGCGTACGCAGAAAGCTAACGCTATAGTCATTCACGCCGTCTTCGGGGACACTCATGAGGGGTGGCTGCGAATTCTGGGACCCGACGAAAGATGACCTCAAGCTGTTGAAGATAACGGAGGGAGGAGGCTATAGATGGAGAGCTGAGTGAATGTAGAGATTGCTGTTCCTCTGATGGGCAGATATGAGAGACGACAGTTATCTGGAAAATGTTTATACGACAGCATGTCAAGGTGGGGAGAAGTTAAATATTCTATGTCAGTGGGAGGCGGGAGGATTGAAATTTTAGATCGACTTCTCTAGCCACCTTTGTTACAGAAGGCAAATAAGAACTATTAACGCCTCAATAAAGAACAGACCAGAAGCATGTAGATATTGAGGAGAGGGGATGTCTCACGACGATGGCAGAGGGAGAGGATGTGATGATATCGAAGAAGAGATGTCAGCGGGTGGCATTGTTGGTTGGGATTAAATATTTATACCAAGCTGTGAATATAACCGGGCAGACTAATGCACAGAAAGCCAGGAAAGGAGCAACAGAAGCCGAGATGTTTAACTAATAAGAAGTATGCATTTCCGCATTGATATAGCAGGGGGGAAAAACGAACAAGAGCAAGAGGAGGGGAATGGTTACAACAACAGCCGCAGATCACAATGTGGGAAATGGATAAGGGACCATCTCAGACAGGGATGAAACCGGATGAATACACAGAGGCACAAAAGAACCATCTTCTCCTCCGCCTCATTCTGAGTATTTGGCGCTTAATGCATATCCACGCCTGTCCTATCCCTTAAACACGGACATCGAATCCCTCAGAACTCGTCCTCGTTTCACCTCGCATTTTATATATCAATCTTGCGTCAAAGCGCCGGGTTAGGCGACATGACGCGGTAACTATATACAGATAAATATCCCTTCGTTGGACCCTTGCTGCGAGCTCATTTTCTTCGCCTGACGCAACTGAGAAGCCCAGGGTGTTTGATTAAATTAATAAATATTATTTAAACTAAATAATTAGAACCATAGCTCCTTGAGACGATAACTGGTAACTTTTCCCACATCTATCTAAATATTTTGCCGACACAACTAGGGGCGAAAACAAATGTTTCCCAGCCCCCATTGAAAATCAACATCAAAAACACCGCCAAAAATAGCCAAAATCGCCAAAATATTTAACCAAAATTTCCATCATAATAATAACCATTAATATGCTAGAGTTCCTCCCTGCTAAGCTGCGTGTCTCGATATCACGTGACATACTATCGCGTGACCAAGTAACCACACTTTACAAGTTGTATTAATAATAAACTACTTCAAGATCTGCTTTAATTAAATTATTATATTTTAATAATTTTATAACTAGTTTATTTTTTACTTGAAATTTAAATATAATTAATTTATAAATATATTATTATTAAAATTAAAATATTAAAAATAAAAATAATAAAATAATAAAATAATATTTAAAAAATTAAATTAAAATTAATTATTTTTTAATTAAATAAAGTTTTATAATTATTTAAAAATTTTAATTATTAATAAACTTTATAAATTTTTTAAATTAATTTATAAATTTAAACTTTTATAAAATATTATTAAAAAGTATAAAATTTTATTAAATAATATATATAATTTTAATAAAATTAAAATTTAAATAAATATTATAAAATAATTAAAATAATTTAAATTTTATATATAATAATTATTTTAAAAAATATATATTAAGTTTTAAATAATTAAATAAATAATATATTTATTTCTAAATATTATATAATTTTTTAATTTAATTAACTTATTTTAAATTAAATAATTAAAATAATATTTTAATATAATTAATTTACTTTTTATTTTATTATTATTATATTTATTTATAATAATTATATATATTAAAATTTATTTTATATAAAAAATTATATTTTAATTTTATAATTTTTAAATTTTATCTTTATATAATTAAAATAGTATTATTAAAATAATATTATCATAGTAATATTTTTATTTTTATATAATTTTTATATAATTTTAATAATATTTTAATTATTTTTATATAAAACTTCTTACTATTAAAGTTTTATTTTTATAAAAAAGTTTAATTTTTATATGATTTATTTTTTTTAATAATTTTTTATTTTTATTTATATTACTTATCAGTTTTTTTTAATAATTAATTTATTATATTTTATTTATATATTATATTTATTTATATATTAAGTTATTTTTAAATTAATTAATTATTTTATTTTTTTAATTAATTTAATAATAATTAAATAATATAATTTTTAATTAAATTAAATATTTAATTAAATTATATATTATTAAAATTTATATTTAATTTATTAAAATATTATTAATTTAGAGTAAAATAAAAAAAAATTATAAAAATAAAAATAAAAAATTATATAATATTTAATATTTTATTATTATTAATTAATAAAAATTAAAAAAATTTAACTATTAAATTTAATTAATTAAAAATTATTTTTTAAATTAATATTTTACTATATAAAATTTTATATTTTTTTCTTTTTATATTAATAAAAATTAAATTATAAATCTAATAAAATATTATATAAAAATTTAAAATTAATATTTAAAATATTAAAATTATAATTAAATTATAAAAATATTTGAGATTAATGAACTAAGTATCAAAAATATATTATAAACACTATAACTAATATTATAAAAAGGTAGAAGTATAGATACTATAAGCACTATAAAGGAAAAAAAATAATAATAAGTAAAAATATAAATATATAATTAAAATAATAACTAATCACTGAATTTTTTAAAAAAGTTTAAAGAATTTAAAATAGTTATATATATAAATAAATAATAATAATTTTTATTTTTATTTTTTATAAAATAAAAAAATAATAATATGATAATTTAATTTTTTATAAAATATTAATTCTAAAATAATTTTATTTTTTTTAAAAAGTATTAATTCTTTATAAAGTATTTAATAAATAGTATAAGACTAAGAAGTTAATGTAAATAATCTTAGTATTATATAAATAAAATATAAATATAATAAATTTATTTAAAAGTAATTTAATATTTTAAATAATATTTTAACTTACTATAAAATTTAATTTAAAAATATATAACTTCAAAAAAATTAAATTTATAATAAAATTTTATATAATTATTAAAGTTATTATTAGTTTAAATAATTAATTATATAAAACTTTTTCAATTTAAAAATTATAAATAACTTATAAATATTATATTAATAAATATATTTAATTAAGATTTATTTTTATATTATTTTTAAAAATTATAATATTTAAAAAGATTAATTTAATAAACTATTAAATAATTAAAAATTAATATTAACTATAATAAAATATTAAATAAAATTAAATTTAAATAATTTATAAATATATATATATTTTAACTATAAATATATAAAAAATATTTATATTTTATTTATTTTAAATAATTATATAAGTTATTTTATTTTTAAATTTATTTAATTTTATATAAAAGTATTACTATATTTTTATATATTGTTTTATTTATATTATATCTTTTAAATATTAATATATAAAAATTTAATTAAATAGTAAATATAATATAAATTTTATATTATATAATAAATAATTTTTTAAATATTTATTTTACTATTAAAAAAAAAATAATAATAGAATATATTTACTTTAAACAAGAAGAAGAAGTAAAAATATATATTATCTAGAAGATTAATTTAAGACAAAGAAGATTTTATAAAAGAAGAATTTTAAAGTCTTATTATTTTTTTTTAAATTTATTCATTGACTATAAGATTGATCAATTATATAAAGCTGAATCTTCTGTTTTGCAATCATGATTGCATGTCTTACAAAGATATAACTGCGAACTATTATATACGAGAAGAAAATGTTCAAATTCTAGTATAATTTAATTTTTAATGAAAATTTCTTTTTCTGTTGTCAGTAATTACAATTAAAATCAAAATACTTTGTATATACTAAATTTAATGTCTGACTCAGTTGAGTAATATATTATCTTGCTCAACTAGCTACTAGTTTTCAATTAAATTCTTTTCATCTTTTATTCAAATAATTAAATATTTTAATTTATCTAAAATTGGCAACTTTACTGACAAAACTCTACGAAGTGTAAAAAGATGTTACTATTGACATGAATCAGCGTATCATGCTCATTACTGAGCTAAAGCACTGACTGCTCTGATGAAGTAATATGAAATGATGCAAGGCACATGAGCTGGGACGGCACTTCAAGAATTCGGAAGTTGGCACGTCGCACGTCAGCGCAGAAGGACAATCATGATATTAATATCCAAACGCTCCATCTCGACGCAGAAAAGAACAAAAGAAATCCATGACTACATCATACACACAAACAATACAGAAAATCTCCCCATCCTGGCCGAATTCCGTTTGCACCTTAAAAAAGCCCGACCCAAATCCCGCATATATCCCATATATAACTTTAATACAACCAGAGATGGACCAAGCTCCGAGATCGAAGGAAGGAGAACCGGGTGGGGAATAACAAAGGAATAGAAAAGTTGAAAATGTCAGGTAGCTTCAAAAATGGGCATGGCCGTTTAATGTTACGAATCCGTTAGTTAAGGGGGATTTTGATCCAGCATCTACGTTTGGAGTGCCCGATCTTATCCCATTTGACAATTGAGACTTCATGTCGGTCGTTTCAGCATCAGGCTCAGGGTCAACATGCATTCGCAAGGTTTGAATATCAAGCCCGTGAAAATGAGGTATGTGAGGGACCAAATCCATAAAATCAGAATACTACAAGTAGGTTTTAGCACAGAGAAACCACGCAAGGATACATTGGAGGTATTACCTTGACCCAAAAAATATGCTCCATGGCAAAGTACTTAGGTCGAGTTTCGATAACCTTCCGCTTAACATCTTCGTAGCTACTCGTCAAGGGATTGAGTTCGCCTTCTTCTACTAGGATACGGCGGGTTACCCTCCAGAGATTGCTCCTCTGGGTAGGAGTGGCCGGTCGTTTTTCCCAACTCGGATCTGTGTCAATGAGGTTAGTGTTAGTGTCTCCACTGGCGCGCCTAATGGTAAATGGAGCGGGATTGACATACATTGCGAAAGCTGAAGATCATTAGTGGCAAGAAGGGGTGCGATCAGATAGTTGGGAATCCATCTTTCATCTTTCGCCTCGGGGTCGCAACAGGGATCGATTTGTTGCGTAGTTGCTGTTACAACTGGCATGAACTTTTTAAGCCAGGCATGGCTTTTAGAAATGGGGTCATTGCAGCCAACAAAATTTGCCGCAGCACGAAGTCGGTTTGGAAGAGCATCCCGACGCCGCTGCTCCTGCTCCTCCTGTTCCTTCCGCAACCTAGCAAGACGAAGTCGTTCCTGTTCTAACCGCTTTTGGCGCTCTTCCTCCGCTTGTCGGAGTCGACGAAGCTCCAGCTCTTGTCTTTTTCGCTCCTCTTCTTCAGCCTTCTCGCGAGCAAGGCGGGCCGCTGTTTCTGCGGCTTCCCTCGCTTCTTCCGCTTCCCTCGCCTCCTCCGCTTCCTTCGCCTCTTTGGCCGCCTGAGCTTCGCGAAGCTCATTCTCCTGTTTTTCACGCTCAGCTTGGGCAGCGATACGTTTTTCTTCTGCTTCCTGTGCTTCTCTACCTTTCTTGGCTTCCCTGGCTTCCTTTTCTTCGGCCTCCTGAGCATCCTTCACTTGTCTGGCTTCTGGGGCAGCGCGATCGACATCCTCCATTGGAATGTCGCATATATCAGACTCGTTTTTCCTCTGCTCTTGCTTAATCGTAGACAGTCCCAGATTAGACGTTGATGTACCCAAGGACTCCATCTCGATTTGATTGTCAGTATCGCGAGTTCCATCAGTGCTTGGCTTCGGGGCATTACTGCTTCTCCGCCGCCCTTGGGATTTCGAAGGCCGTCCTGGTAACTCTAGAGTTTTCTTTGCCGTACTATTGGAGGATGAAAGGTCATTCTCCTCAGATCGGACGCGTCTCCGCTTCTTTAGAGTATCACGAGAATCTTCATCCTTGCGTTGGCGGCCACGAGCCTGGGGTGGTTCTGGGGAAACACTGCTTCGAGAACGCTTCAATGAGCCAGCCTTTTTGGTAGGCTTGGCGTCGCTATTTGTGTGCTCAGCAGGCAGTTTGGCGGTTTCATCGCGACCAGAGTGAGAGTCGGACGATATCAAACTCTCTCTCCGCTTCACGCGGTCAGGTGGCCGACCAGCAATGAGACGCCGACGTTTAATAGGCTCTTCCCCGGTCTGTGAAGGGGTGGAGTCCTTTAGCTTTTTCCGGTCTAGATGTGTCTCTTGATCGGATCCGACTGCGGACTGGTCACGGTAGTTGCTTATTCCTTTATTTGATGCCTTTGCTCGGTTGCCGATAGATGAGGCTCGTTTTTCTTTTTCGTGACTGGTACCCTCGGGCCTTTTCTTTTCCTTTACGCTATCTTTTCCCCGAGGCGAGCGATTGATTTGGCGATTCTGGTCCGAAGATCTAGCAGCTTTTTGTTGTAACGAAGGACCCGGGGAGGGTGACTCTTGTTGAGCATGTTTTTTCACATCTGCATCTTTATCACGAGACCTTCGAGGAGATTTGGTATCCAGTTTCCGGGTTCTGCGTGTTTTCACATGTTTATCATAGGCCTGCTTTAAGAGCTCATATTCCTTTTCCCAATGATCTCCTCTGCGTTCCCGGGACAACTCAAAGTACGTACGACCACGGCGATCAAGGCGTGTAGGGTCGAAGCCTCGTTGATCTAATAGAAGTTGAATAACAGCGATATTGCCTCTGCCAATTGCAGCTAACATAGGAGTATTGTAGCCCGGCTTATTGTGATTGCCAGTTTGTAGTGGTTCAGGATCCGGGTCCGGGTCACCCATTCCTAGTAAAATGCCTAAGACTTCGTCATGGCCGCCTTTCGCAGCAGCAATCAGCGACTCAGGATCAGCTTTTTGCCCCACGTTAAGTATATTCGCCACACCGGCCATATCACCTTTGGCAGCGAAATCTCGGAGATTTTCAGGAGTTGCCTTCGTCCACAACAAATCGTTTCTTGTTGCTTCACTCCTCACAGTTCTTCGTCGAGCTCCGAGACCAACAGGAGGAGGGCTTCGCTGAGAGTGTACTGGAGGGGAATCACGAGGACTAGCTGCGGATGCGCCCCGAGATGATGGATCTCTGACTGAAGAAGTGGCACGAGCAGATTGGTCCGCAGACTTTCGTCTTCGCTGCCCCTTGGCTTTTGCCTCCGCGATTATTTTTCGCATCTCTTCATAGTTCTCATTATCAGATGGAACAAGGTCGTATGGCTCATCACCTTCAGCATTACCAAGGCGAGGATTGGCGCCCGCATCCAAAAGTAATTTCACCACGTCCAAGTGACCATTTTCCACAGCATCAATGAGCGGAGTATCTCGGTCGATATTTCTTGTGTCGATTTCGCACCCAGCTTCAATGAGGAATCTAACAATTTCCACGCAGCCTTCCAGGGCTGCGATCTGAAGTGGTGTGTTCCCCGCATTATCAGAGATGTTTAGATCCTCGGGACGTTCAGCGTGGCGTGCTTTCGCAGCCTCGACTTCTTGCATTGCACAAGCCCTGGCAAGTCTCGTCCGGCCATTTTGATCTCGCTGTTTTTTTGCCTGCATCTGTTTTGCGGGAGACATAGCAGATTGTTCACCCGTGGCTGACTTGCGCAGACGAGCAGATGGTAAGGGAGATCCGCTAGCGGAGGACGAAACAGAGTCTCTATCCTCTGATATTTGGCGGCGTGATCCCGTTGCAAGTGTAGGTGGTGGTCGCCTTCTCTTCTTGGTATCAGTAGATGGCTGAGATCCAGATGTAACTCTATGGTGGGAACGATAAACTGGTGATGTGGAACGATGGTTAGATATACGTCGTGAATGAGATATGTTTGATGCTTCGTCGGGATGTTTGTTATGGGATGAATCCGATCTATGTGGACGGTCGCGATGGCGACGGGTCTCTCCTTCCCCCGTTCGAACCACGCCCTCGCTTGACCAACGCTTTGTCGAGGGCCGACTTTTGTTAGTTTCAACATCACCAGATTGTGGGTGTGGTGAACCGCGTATGGCAGAAGCGCTCCCTAAATCTTCAGCCTGAATTTGTTTCGTCTCCTGTGTGGGAGATGAAACCCGTGAGATCCGTCCACTAACATCGCGAGATTCGGTGGGTCCATCGTTCGCGTTATCATTTTCCACCCGCTGTCGCTTTCGAGGTTTCGTACCTTCAGATGACAACGCGATTCCTGAATCTCTATCGTCTTCAGTTCTACCAGGACTCCTATCGCGTTTATGTTGAATGAATCGCCTCTTTTTCTCTGGAGATAGCTCTTCTCGTTCTGACTGGATTATGGTTTCCGCCTCTGAATCCGCCTTTATACTAACTATATCTTCATTGTCATTACCACCATCGTTCTCCCGCTCCACCCTGTGCTTTTCATGTAGAGAAGGAACCTGCGATGGAACGTTGTTCACTGTAAGCTCTGGGGTAGGTTTCACGTGTTGATCGGTGTCACCATTAGTGGGAGAAGCAGTTGGCAAAGACAGCACTGCATCAGCATCATTCATAGCGGCTGCAGTAGGGATCTTTGGCCTCTCTGCTTCATCGTTAGTAGCCGTAGCCGCTGATTGTGAGCGATTTCCGCCGGTCGAGCCAGACTCGATCACAGCTTCTAGGAGGAGCCCAAGGCAGGACCGCAACGGCGCGATTGTATATCTAGCTACAAAGTTGCCGGGAGAATATGCGGCTTCTGGTGGTTCACGTTGGATGATACGGGGTTGGGTAGCAGTAAAGGTTGATGGTTGGGGTTGTCGTATGGATGATTCACTTGAATATCGGGCGCAAGACGTTCAAGTTCTCAAAGTGAAGGGCGGTAAACCCCATCCTGGCGCTAGTACTATTTTGGCTTTCTGCCACTTCGGAGCAAACCTTGGGAACTGTTGCCTGGTTGAATTCCCCCGTGAGATTCGATGATATTTACCGAGGATAATTACATGCAATATGAGGTTGTTATGTTGATTATGCGTATTGTTAGGGGAGTTGTTTACACTTATCAATTGTGAATATCATATTTTTATGGGGAACACTGTATAAGATATACCTCTTTTTAAGACGAGCCTTGATTTGTTGCGAAATCGCATGGTCGTTGAAGTGCTGGAGATGTGGATTTACAGTTGAACGTGGTTTTAAAGCTGAGTTCCCTTTTTCTAAAACCATGATCAACTCAGATCAACCTCATCTAAAATAAAACACAGTCTACATACTCTGCACATAACTACAACACATATATTACTAATCCATTTCTATTCAACCTCACCGATCAACACCAGGGTTAGGGTATGTGAGGAAACTATGATAAGGGTTAGTTAAGAATAAGAACCTGACATATGCAATATCACTACCATCAATATAGAGATGCACATGAATGAGATATGTGTGAGATATGACCGGTGGATGTAGTTTTTGTAGGAGTCTTAAGGATTGCCTTCGTGGAATGTCAATGGGCCTGGATATATCCACTCATCACGTGATTGAGCTAGGCGAAATCGCAGAGCAGCCTTGGCGTTGAGCCCAAACGTTTAAACCACGCCGAAGGTATTTTCCCGGGCGAATTTTAAAACCTTGAACGTTCATGCTCTACAGTACGGGGGTAATTATGTAGATATGGTTACTGCACCTACACTACATTATTCCCCGACCCCGATAAAATATAGGGAAAAGTAAGAGCATGGCCACGGTGCCCTCTCTTGACCATATTATCATCATATACGCTCTAAAATCGAAGCGAAACGGGGTTAGCATCTCAAACTTCGTCTGTAGTATGCTGACTCAAATGATACAGCATTCTTGAAGGCCTGGGTAACCTGTAAGGTCTAACTCGATACTACAAGGAACGCGATTACCGGATGGGATTGCATGAGTCGACTGCGAAGACCCTGCCTGGAGCGGCGATGAGATACATCCAGTGGATGTTCTCGTACTTGCAGACAATAGATGCGATAAACTTCATTCGAAGCTATTTTTTGATCACGGCCTGCACTGTGAGAATCCATCCATTCCATGTATCCATATCAACATCTATTGAATGAATGATTGATCAATGTGTAGATTCTGCTTGCGAACAGCGTCCCTTTTGTTCGCAATCGTTTCGTGACATATGGCCCACGGGCCACAACGCCAGAACCGATCAACGCTTCCACAAAAGGAGCTCAAAATGACGCCAAGCTGTCGAAACAGCCCAATTGTGGATGGGGAGCGTCTTTTCTTGACTATATAGCATCGTGGCAAGTACCACATAGCTTTTTCACTCATTTTTACGTGGCATCGGTATTATCCTCAGTTCTCTGGGGAGCTCAAATCTACTTCAGAGGCCCACTGTTTCGAGCTGTATCTTCACAGGTTAGAGAACAAAACATTCAAAAGTCCATGACACGCAACCAAGTTGTTCTGTGCTGGACGCTACTTTTGATCCAAGGTGTCCGTCGACTGTGCGAATGCAATTTAATGGCAAAACCGTCCCGATCGAAAATGTGGTTCCCACATTGGGTTGTTGGGCTGGCATTTTATGTCGCAATGGGGTTGGCTATTTGGATCGAAGGAATACGTATGTGCAATTTACCGTGACCTTGTTTCGCCTCGCCCTCCAAATCGTCTACTGAAAACTGCCATATCTAGCTGCGATCCATTCTTCAGGCAACTTACTAAATGATGTGCGATATTGTGCACCATCATTGAAGACACTCGCTTTCCTTCCAGTTTTTACTATTGCATCCGGTATCCAACATGATTGCCATATGTACCTAGCTTCGTTGAAGAAGTACACTCTTCCGTCTCACCCAGCTTTCCTCGCCGTCGTATCTCCGCATTATACAGCCGAGTGCGCCATTTATCTATCGCTCGTTTTCTTGGCTGCGCCAAAAGGATCTCTTGTCAACAAGACTGTATTGTCGGGACTGGTTTTCGTTCTTGTGAATTTAGGTGTTTCTGCTGCCAATACTAAGGAGTGGTATATGAGAAAGTTTGGTAAAGAAAGCGTGCAGCATCGGTGGAGAATGATACCACGTCTATATTAGAATTTCTATTGTGGAAGCCTCAAACCTTCTTCTGGACATGTCGGCTGCAGTATCATGAGATTTCTATAACCTTTCTTTGCTGCTTGCAAACGCCAATAAAAGTAACCCATTGGATGGTAACCATGATCAGCAGCCAGCCTCTGCGTCAAATTTAATTATTAGAACCGAAGCTAGTCGTTGCTGCCTATCATCTAGGCCCAAGGAATTTCATAGTATTCCCCAGCTTCGAGACCTTGAGCACATCCCGATATGTTAGGCTTATTCTAGTCTCCCTCTCGTAACTGCCTGCTGCAAACGTATCTTTATCCCCAAGCAATTCCCAGTTACAAACAGCTTCCGGGCTTAAATCAGCATCCCTTTTTCGCTCCTCAATCCCATGCAAGAAATCAGTGTATAGTTTCCCAGTCGTTATCAACAAACTTCTTCTTTCTTGCAATATTCTAAACCGGGATGGCGTTGTTTCTTGGGCTTCTGCTCCAATTCCTTCTCCCGATTGACCTGTGTTTGCGCGATCTGTGATCTTCTCACTCATCTCCAGTACAATCGGTGCCCCCAAACTCACCGTCGCGACAACGGGGTAGTATGCGGCACCGTCCTCATGAGGCATGATTCCTTGTCCAGGTTTATACTCATTAATCAGTACATGGTTAGGTGCGTGGTGCGGTGAATCCCGAAATATTCCAAGCGCCGTATATCGGGAAATGATGGGAGAAACCAGCCAAGTTGGGAGGGGGGAGCCGAGAAGAGTGTTGGATTTGGTCAATGCGGATGGCCAGGTCTGAAGGCGTCGCCGGGAAAGCTGTGTCCAGCGTGGAACGGGGACAGATAATATCTTAATAGTTGTTAGTCTGTAGTTTCATTTTATGATCAATATGTCTCCCTTGATGAAGGGAATCAGAGGGAAACAACCAGGGTATTTATTCTCTTAATGGGGCGATCAGTTAACCCTCTTATTGATCCCAAAACTTCCTCCTTCAGTTGAAGCATCTCTGTTCACCTCAGTCTAACTATTAAATTCCAACATAAGCTACAGGTAAACAAATATGAGAATTTTACCTTCTGAAGCAACCTATCCTCTTCATCCTGCGTTATAAACCCGGGAATATAATAGGCATTTTCAGGAATTGACATGATTCGCACATCTTTGAGCTGCAGGGGCAGTCTGACTTTCTCCTTTGTCTCCTCAACAGTTCCAACATGTTGATCGTGTTCCATATCTATGCGATGTCCATAACCTTAATTAGGAGAAGGAGCTTGCCATTGATTCCACCTGGGAGACAGAAATTTGAGAATTGGAATTTGGACCAAACCACGGAAAAGCAACAGTAGTTTCAAGAATTCAAAAGGCTTGTTTTGCTGCTGCCAGTGAAGGACTCCAGTTTGTGTCTTGGAGCAAATTGAAAATTTGAGCTTGGAGCTGATAAAAAAAAATAAATGAAATGAGCGACGTTGAGCTTCAAGCTATAAATATTGAACCTTGGAAATAAATATATGCGTGGGTGCTTCACAAACCCCACACACTTCTTTGGAACATCATATTTTCCAACTTGCTCCAACTCATCATAAACCAAACCTAACCTCAACATTATCTCTTCTGGTCTCTTCACGACTACGCGGGCATTTTCCCCTCTGTCCCTAATTCGGGACTCTCAGACACTCCAGGTAACTTTCAGATAAACAACCTTTTAGCACTCAACTCAATTGCCATGGGGAAGAACAGCGCTAAAGACGCGGGCGCCAAAGGAAAAGGTAAAGGCAAGGCGAAAGACAGTTCAGATGGTAATGAGGGTGCAAAAGGGAAAGGAGGCCTGAAACCTGCAAATTCGATCAATGTTCGACATATTCTCGTAAGTGTCTGATACTCTTCGTGCTTGCTCTTCTTGCTCGGCTTCAATCTCTTGCTTGACTGTGATTTAAATATACCCGTTTGCGTTTGCTTCTTCACTTGCCATTGGATTGGAAGTAGCTCTGTATCCTCTTTACATGATTGCCATGCTACGCATGTGTGTTTCCATGACTGAAATGTGCAAGAATATTGTTCCTTTTCATATGTACGAACCCAAACTAACTAGCCATTGCGAGAAAAAAGTGTGAAAAACACTCGAAGAAAGAGGAAGCGCTTGAGAAGCTGAGAAATGGGGCAAAGTTTGATGAGGTTGCAAGGGAATTTTCTGAAGATAAAGCTAGGCAAGGTTTGTTGATTTTATTTTCGCTATATGTTTGATGACACTGGCATTCGTGCTACGTCCTTTACCCTTAATATATGATTGATACCAAACAACCTGAGCTCAAATGTGAGAAAGTTATCAACTGGGACCATTATATCCTAGGTTTCGCATACGCTCACATCCTTCCACCCAGGGCTTCTCAACTCCACTCTATCATCCTCAAAAGGGTGTTGGAATTGAATAAGGGCCAAAGGGAGGAATTCAAATGAAACTCACTGCCTTGTTTCGTATATTACATGTTCTTTCCACCCAAGTACATAGGCAAAGAGTGCTATATCTTTTATAAACTACCCCTTTCCTGACACAATCCAAAATATAGGGGGATCGCTTGGCTGGAAAATACGAGGTAGCCTTGATGCCTCATTTGAAAAAGCAGCATACGACCTCGAGCCCAGTACGACCGGGAATCCAAAATGGACGGAGGTGAAAACGGGATTTGGATACCATATCATTATGGTGGAAGGGAGGAAGTGACGGGCAAATGAACGTGGAGGATTGAAAATTGGAGTTGGTTGAAAGCGTATTTCCTGTTCTTTTCGATCTACACCCGGTAACAACACATATCTGGTTATTGCTATGTATTGGGTTGGATATATGTCTCTGCGTTGTCAGTTGATATTATTTCCTCTTTTCTAAATATTAATGATGGCATAAGGCAGCATTCGACATTGTTTTTTTATTTTTATTTTTTTTTAACAAAGCATCATGTCAGTATGAGGACATTAAGGCCATAGGAGATTCTCTTTTGGCAATTAATTGGAGAAAGACTTATCTTCCGCTAATATTTGTGCTTGGTCGAATAGTTTATCTGTGTTAGATGGAGGAAATTTGAATTGAAGGGCATACAAAGAAGAAGATGGAAGAATTTGGATTCCAGTTACTACTGCTTGTCAGTGATCCCCTTCCCAATATATGAATTCAACCTTGGATTTTAGCTGACAGTGCCAAAAGACTCCAGCATATGTTCTCCTGTAAAAACAGTATTCCTACAGGTTCCCATATCAATCATCCCAACCTTGGAAGCATTCTATACAGATCAAATAACAGGGACGAAAAAATCATTAGGCTAGCAAAACTTCAATCGTTTGGAACCTTGAATGGGATACGGTACCATAATAGGCTTCGCATATAAACTGTTCGTTCAACATCGGGAGTTTTTAACTTTAATTGGAACCGTGCAAACCACGGCACACTGACAGCAGGAATGAAAGGGAAACGGAGATATTAGATTAACAGGCAAACTTCCACAACCCTGTATCAGGTCCTTTTTTAAGCTTATTCTATGGGTCCATCACCGTAATGGAACTCGGGTTTCGGGGCAAGTAGAGGAATTTTCTGGGCGGACAAGATAAGCCCCACACATTATTTCGCAAATCTAATGGCGCCCATTGACTTTAGTAGTTACCTTAGAGTTCACTCATATCAGTTAGTTTGGGAGATATTTGTTTCTTCATTGGATCCTGGGAGCGGGACTATAAACATTGTACTGGTAAAGTTACCGACAACATGACCTAGTTGGATAGGAATATGATGATTCTTCATTTCAAGAATATCCTAAGAAAGGTGTTTTAAAGCCGCTGGCATGAAATAGCTATCAATTAGTTGCCTTGTGATTGGAAAATAAAATCATCAACCGCCCATGAGTGCGGGTTTTGGCCATAGACCAATGGATCATCTACCCTCAAAAAAATGGTAACCCAAACCCCCCGGGCTTTTCATGCCAAACATTTGACAGGAAGTCTTCCACTGCAGTAAATTCGTGACCTGGGAAGAGTTGATTTAGCTCATCTGATGAGTCCTATGCGCCTTTTGTACTGCTTAGAAGGATTCCAATGGAAACGGCTTTGAGAAGTGCCCACGCCTGATCCTCAGAGACTGCGCGGTGAACTGCTTTCAACCCCCACGATATCTTTAGGTCTCCGGCTTCGAGATCTTCGACTTTTACTTTGTCGACAGTGAAAGGCCGCCTAAGAGATTCATATTAATAAAATTCGAAAATATGCGACGCTCAGAAAAACTATTCTAACCTCGAACTTTCCTGCCGATCTCAATGAGTTGCGAGAACCTGACTCTGTTGCCTCTAATACCGCCAGCTGTAGGCCATTTGCCATCGTAATCAGCTGATCGAGCAACGATTGCGGCAAGGGCCGCGACAGTGGTTAGAGTTATAACAGCGGCTTCGTGGCCTTCCACAACGATCGCACGCCTGTTCTCAAAATCGAAGACGCTCTGTAGCGCGTCGACATACTTAGCCGTCTTGTGAGGGAAGGCTAGATAGTCCAAGAACAAACCAGGTTGAAATAAGATGTTCTCGAGTTTCTAATGAAAAAGCTATTTGCGGCTGGCTGGAAGTATTGAAAGATCATAGTGATTTTGATGCAGATTCTCACGTTTCCTTTTGAATTTACTTCTTTTGGGTGCTCCCTGATTCTTTCTTTTCTCTGCCACCAGGCTATGTCAACCGTCCCCTTACTGGTCAATTGAGTAAGCTATGGAGCTAATGTGTTGCATTGATTGCGGGTAATATCAGCGCTAATATCCGCATCGATAAGGTTCCTCTGAGACCTCTGGTCGGGATCCGAGAGAATCTGGACGAAGGACAAGAGGGTGTGGATCCCTCGAAGGGCCTCAACCAATGCAGCCTTATCATCGTAGTCTACCGTTTGCCAACTAATTCCGGGTGTGATGGCTGTTGTCGAAGGCCCCTAAGGGACACATTAGCGTTGAAATTGCACATAAATGTAAAAGTTCCAAATGTTTCCCTCACCTTCCTACTTAATATGGTTATATCATGCTTTTTTGACGGTATGAGAACATCAACAATCTCCCGGGAAACATCTGCAAAGTAAATAAGTCTTGATAGGCGATTGCATAACAGAATTGGGATTAAACCCACGCCCAGCACCCGCCAGTTACAGCGATTTTAACCATTGTAAAGCTTTAATACCTGGGTTCAACAAATTGATACGATGTTCGGAAGCGTGGGTATTAAGATAATTTATCCATTACACAATGCAAGACCAACTTCTGTATTAAATATATTCGTCTCTATCTCATGAGTTCCAGTGGGAGGTCTTTTCCCAGTGAAAATATCAAATCCGGGACATCAAGCTCGCTATCTATCCACTTGTCCTCGACTGCGGAGCAGTTCATGGTCCATCATGGACCATATGGCTTCAACATCCCAGTGGATTGGAACAATGACCAACGCATCCATGGATTAATTGACTGCGTTCATTTGCGGCATTCTCCAAGAACTTCCTTCGGTTGTCCTTTACAGGTTATACTCCTCCCTCTGCAGTTGGTCCACCCTGGAAAGCCGTGAGACAGGGTTCTTAAATCGTAGTTAGTTAGCTATCCAGGCAAGGTTAGAGCCACTCCCACTCCCCAAGCCTGTTAACTCCGGAATAGGCGGCTGATAAAGGCTCACGCTTTTCTCCGCCGCGGCGGAAAGAAACGCTAGATTATGTAGCTGATGGAGTAGGTGCGAAAATAAATAAATAAATACCTAGTGGTGCGTCGAGATCCACGGAGCAACTTTTCGTTCGGATTTTAACCAACAAACTTGCTTTAGCAGGGCATCTGTGCTGGCAAAACTCCCGCAAGACACCGAAATGTCATTAATAATCCCACGTGCTCTCTCCTCCGCGGAGGGACCAACCTCCAACGCTGCTCAACATGCGAAAAGTCCGTAAAGGCACTTAAAGTTTCTGGGAGTGCAAGCGACGGAAGATCCGATGCACCTTTGCAGCGCCTTCAGAAACTGTCTGAGTCGTCGAACCCCATGTATTAGCCAGGAGTTCCATTATGAGGCAGTACTTGAGAGTATAAATGTTGATAGGATCAACCGGATGGAATCTCTCATAGATTGATTCATCAAGCGAAGAGGGGCTAAAGTGCCAGACACGCTGCGTCCGAATCAGCACGAGTTGGTAAATTCATCAGTAAGAACCATCTTTGCAAGTGTGAAGATAGTATAACTAGCTGTTCATCCAACATGGGAAGACGGAAAATTCTAGGCCTGATGGATGTGGAACCGAATCCGATCCTCCCTGCCCCACTCCGATCACAGTCCCTCCCCCGGTCCCAGAGAGGCTTTTGGCTTACAGCCATGACGAGCTGTTTGTCTCGCTTTTAGCAGCTTGGCCCAATCAGCATAATCTCAATCTCCTATTAAGCGTTTTGATCGATGTTTCGGTATTATTCCACGGTATAGTATTCATGCCGTACTCTAGATTCCTTTCCCGACAACGCTTGTCTCCGCAAGCCGTATTGCAGATGCCTCCGCTTGGATCCCATCCATCCTCGTAGCAAGAAGGTTTCTAATTCTTGGCTCTTTTATAGGGCATTCCGCTATCCTTGGCGGAGAAACTTGCTGGCCTAACATCGGACTGCCAGGATATCATGAATCGTGTGGTCCGAACCGCTACTAGGCTTGTAACAAATGATGATGAACTTGTCATTTCACTCGATGGTATCAAGTGTGTTATGATTGCAAGCATGTACTTAAATAATGCTGGCAATCTTCGCCAAGCATGGCTGACAAACCGCAGAGCCATGGATGTTGTGCAGATGATGGGATTAGATTACCTTTTCGAGCATAATTCTCGAGCTGGAAACTCAGGATCGTATCGATCCTGATTACATGTGGTTTCGCATAGTCTCCACAGACAGGTATCTGTCGTTGAGGCTGGGCCTGCCACAAGGTTCATACGAAAATGTCTTCGCGAGTCAGAAGGTACTGCAAAATTGCATAGCTGTGGAGCACCTGGAGCGCCTAGAGTCCGTTGCAGCTGGGCTTATCCTACAGCGTAATGTTGGCGAGCAAATTGATCTTGCGACAACACACGAAGTGGACAAAATGCTTCAGGAGGCTGCTGCCCTAATGCCACCACGGTGGTGGCTGATGACTTCCAATGGTGCTGTCGGTAGCGATGATGCCCAGGCATTCAAAGAGTCAATCCGCCTTACAAATCATTTAACATATCGTCATCTCTTAGTATGGCTACACGTGCCATACATGATGTTGTCCTCTTCCACCGAACCGCGTTATGATTACAGCAGGATGACTGCTGCAAATGCCAGTCGTGCGATAGTTGCCCAGTTCGTAGCATTCCGAGGTGCGAATTTATCGACGGCTTATTGTCGCGGTATCGACTTTGTTGCTTTTATTGCTAGCAGGACGCTGTGCATTGCACATATGGAAGCTCACCGGCAGCACCAATTCGGCTACGGCAAAGATGTCACCGTTTTCCAATCTCTCCAACATCAGCGACTGAGCGACCGCGGACATCTTGAACGGACATTTGAAATCATGAAAAGAATGGCTCAAATGAATCACGATGTTTGCTCAAAAGATATCCATTATCCTCCGGTCCCTCCTCGCTATCGAGAATGATTCTGCCAATGGAGCCTGGTACCGTACAACTGCCACCCTGGAGCTTTATAAGGAGGACCCTCATAGTTTTGGAGCTAGGGATGACAATCTCAATGAACTGCATATCAATATACCGTACTTCGGAACCATCAAGTTCGAACACAGCCCCACCCACCATTTCTATGATCGAACGGACAAAAACTCTCTCCGAAGGGCGATTTCGAAACGTGTCCATCCCGCAAACAACTGATACTGGTCATTTTTTTGTGAACCAGTCTTACAACTAATGCGTGAGCAACATAGAGCCTATCAGAATGATCTGACATCCATATCCCGCTCAGCTGGCTATCAAATCAGCACCGCCCAGCCTGCCAATACTGATTGGTAAAATGTTCCGTCGTCCTTTGGGCCACCAGATCCCTTTCAGTAGTTTGGAACAGTAAATTGGGATCATGGCTTTTCGTACCCCGAAACCAGCGGCGAACAAGAGCCTCACCTTCTTGTGCCAGGCTTAGCAGCAGATGTGAACGATTGGCCTTTGCAGGGAGTAGAAATAGCTTTATTTAGTAGTTTCATATAAGTTTGAGAGATTCAACTGAAGCTGCTCTTTGCTTTTCTTTTTTCGAAAGTTTTGGTCGTTGGCAGTATGTGATGACATCATTGTTTAGTCCGTATGATGATCCGGAACTTGTCATTTGGTTTGAGTTTGGTGAGCTTGGTCTGGCTTTTCAACAATATTGTTAATAGGTTTTTGCCAGACATTTACGCCCAGACTGTTTTGCTTTTGCATTAGTATTAAACATGATTTTTTTTCTTCTTGTAACAGAATCCATGTTAGCATGCCAGCGACTGCTCAAGTCACGGTCAGATGTTGTCACATCCTTGTACATGTTACCACTTCCAATCCGATGTGGCGCGACCTTAATTAACTCCGATGTTATCATTCATGTAATCCGAAAATTATCTCGAGCTCCAGAGGTGCGATGTGGGGGAGCGGGGAAGCTGAATCTGGAAGTGTGCTGGTGCTTATGTGGCAGAGGTTGAGCTATCTCATTTCCTGGGAAATTTTCCAAAATGTTGATTGTGAACATCAACTTAGCAGCACCACAGGGCCCTTGGAAAGTCGATTATGTCTGTCTAGCTCTTCCAGATACCCAGAAATGGTCTGAAGCTGCCCGCAACTGTTCGGAACTATGGTGCAATTGCCATTATCGCGGGAACGAACTTGCAAAGCAAGGATTTGGCCAACTCTTATCTCCTCCTCACCGCCACATATGGGTCAAGAGCTTGCTGGAGCATGCTTGACGGGCTGAGCAAGAAGTTCCGTTCCTCTGAGATGATGGAATATGAAACTATAAAAGGACCCTATCACTTTTAACACGACGCTCAAACTGTGGATAAAATAAACATGAATATTGAAAATATTTCCGGAATCACGTCATCTCCAGCCAAAAGATTTGATACTCTGAGCGCATGTGGGCAGTAAAATTTTTTGCATCCTTCTAGCTTCTCGGCCAAACGTGAAACAGAGGACTATCCAATGGTTATGATAATAATTTGCCCACTTCCATTATTGATGCTACTAATGTGGACGGCAAGGGAGGGACGGACCGGGCACTATAGCCTCTAGCCCGCGACAGAGAACCCACGTTGTTTCCAAAAATAAAAATAAATAATAATAATAATAATAATATATATATGGAAGTTAGCTGAATGGGTAATAGCCGAGCAATATCGTGAGTAGCGCTAGAAGCGAGCGGTGAAGAGATATGAAGAATGAGGTCATGATTATGGTCACTCACTCTCTTGTGTTATCTGCTAGGAGAGGAGGTGTCAAAACATGTGCTCTCAAGCAAAGTAAAAACTAGATAGGGATGAATTTGTCAGCTGTTTCTGTCCTGGTCCCATCAATATTGATGCACTTGTTGATACACAGAGGAATGATGGTGAGAGGGCTGGGCGATTTTGGGGTAACTAAGTAAGTGTAAGTGTAACTAACTCAACTAACCTGTTGTCAACTGCACCATCGTGGAATAAGAAAGTAATCAGAGACTAGATGAGTAATTCATCTCATCTCCAAAGCTGAATTGTATGCTTCAACCATATATTGTGCAGATTCTCTTAACCCCGAAAAGCGACACTGTGAGATATACGGATCCAAAAAATAATAAGCCTGCGCTTGGCGGAGGATAAGGAAGAAGGCTTGAACTTTAAAAATGATATAACCGGTATCGTACTGTACCGTACCGTACTGTGCAGTTCCCTCTAATATTAAATAATAACAAAGAAACCAATCCAAATGAGGGGATTGTTAGTGTCACACAATGATGGCATCTCAAGTTTGGCCTTTGAAGGCAGATCAGATGCAAGACATCCCACTTTAACTGCCTTAGGAAAAGGGATGTTGTCCACGGATGTTCTCTTTCTGCTTCTTCTTGTCCGGCACTTCCAGGTCCAATCCAACTGACCTATGGAAGGCTGGGGATTTTCAGCATGGGAATTGCGTCCATTGTAAGACCAGAAAGCTGTGGAATGTTTCAACGGAGAGGTTCCGTAGCGAAAATGGGACGTTGGGTGAGATGATTTACCTTCTGCCCAGGAACTAAGCCACGATGTTCGCGTCCGTTGGTTTGTGTGTGAGAGAGCTGTGTCCTGCTGTTTTCATGCACTTCTAATTCAATGAGAGCGCTTGTCTAGAGCTTCTTCCATCTACCCGGTTATCTGCACCACTATCATCATCGCCTTTGAATCCGTTGTGGCCTTCTGTTGTGCCACTGCAACGCGAAGCAAATAGAGGAAAGAAAAAAGCAAAATTTCTTGTTACGTGGGGTGGAAGTAAACGTGCAAGTCCATACCTGCCTCTGCAAAATGAAATCCGCTTGGGCTATCAGAAGAAAGGTCTGTACCCAGGTACTCCGTGTATTTAGCTCGTCAATCACCATACCGCTTAATTCAAGAGACGTCCCTTTCGGGGACCTGTTCGTGAGTCTTATTTCTCATACAGCGCATAAACAACATAGGATTAAAGGGTTTACTCTCCTAATTATTTGTTTTTCATTTCCTGGGTTCAATTCTGTTTCTTTTTCTTGCCGGGAAACAAAATGACCAGCTTGCATGTCGACATGGTTTGGATGTTTATAACCAGGAGGTCGCATAAAAGTTGCACCCTCCGAGCCAATTCTGATGACATTTGCGCAGATGCAGCCTGCCCATTGGTAGGTTATTTGAATCCCCTTGCTAGTCTTCAGGCAGGAGGCTGTTTTGAGCTTATGCTTAAAGCAGAAAAGAGGCCATGTAACCACCTGGCAGCAAGGTTTCTGTAAACCAATTGTTACAATATTACTGATCGATCGTAATAATTCCAGTCAGCTTCCTAATTGCATATTGGATTCTGGTTCATGGAATTGATGGTTGTGCTTTGTTGAGCTGATGAAAGTGTTTGGCGCGTGCACGATCCGCGGGTAGATAACTACCTGGTAGTAGACTGATGCTTTGGTAAACCGGTCATTCTGATCTACCAAGTAGGACTCCAAGATAAAGGCTGATAATCTGGTTGTGTCCTAAAAATACCGCTGTCATTCGGAGGAGGCATGACCGCATCGAGAAACGGGTCTCGCCATGCAGGACAGGGATTGTAGTAAAAAGTGAGGTAAAATGAGATTATTATTGCTCTTGTGATGCTTGCCGACTTCCTCCAAGGTTGATTTGATGGTTATTCCCCCTTCCTGCTCCCTAAAACCAGTGACTTTTTCATAAAGACTTTGGTAACTGGCTGATCGGCCTGCCTTTCGTCAAGGATGGTTTCACAACATCTAGAGAACTAGTCGGCGTGATTCGCTGTCCCGCCATTCTGGAAATATTCTTCTCTTCTCCGCAGATAGCTTCCTCTTGTGTGGAACGTTGGAAAGCTAACTCTCAAGGTTCTCTTTTCACAAACACCTTTGCGTGATCAAGAAGGCCAGACCCTGGCCAATTTTCCCTTGGTCGTTATGTATTTACTGGAATTGCCATGACGATGACTCTCCCCGTCAAGGTGAATCATCCTGAGAAGCATTCCGTAATTAAATAGCATCGGAGTTCTCTGTCTCCCTCTCTCTAATTTGCCTCCACCGGCTTGGGCAACATATCAATGCAAGAAGAAATATTGCGAGACTAACGATTTTGTCGATAATACCATACGTAGATTACCGGGACGTGGAAGACAATGAGGCATGGTAACTCTGGGGACTAACCGATTGGCCCACCCAGGGTGACCCCCAACTCAACACAAACCTTAGGTGTGAAATCAAAACCATCTCCCAGTCAGCTCATATCAGACTGTCTGTGGGAAGCAGACGAGACTTGGAAAGGATGACAATAAATAATCAAATGCGCATAACGAAAACGATGAAGATAAAGTAACACAGCCAAAATAGGGGAACTGACTGATCTACATATTGACCTCATTTTTGTATTTCTTGGATCCTCTTGTCGTTTTCCGCCGGTTCTCACTCTCTCTCCCTCTTTTTTTTTTTTTTTTTTTTTTTTTTTTTTTTTTTTTTTGCATGAAAAACAATCCACGCATATCGTTTGCAGTCGATTCCTTATCTTTACCGGTAATTGATTGCACATATCAAGACTGGTTCGCTCTTCTTGCCACACATCACATATGATAACCACCCCTTATAACGACCTGACCGTTATTAATTTTGCTCCAATTCGCTCTTGTTGTGCTTCTGCTGCCTCTTTTTCTCTAACCTCACCGGCAGATTGTCGGTTTTCTTTTCTTTTCTTGTTTAGACCTGTCAAATCCGGCAAATCTCCAATCAATGCCTATACCATCACCTAGGGCATGCATTTGACGTGTACGACATGGACGTATCCCGACTCTGATGTTCAGACCTAATTCTTCATCTGCTTGTTCGAATCCAACTTCTCGCTCGCGGGCCCACACAAGCAACTTCACCCTGCCGCTTCCAGCAGAGTTGGCTCTTCCGACAGGTGAATGCCTCTTTATATTACTCCATCCATCTGTTCCTGACCAGCGCTGCTCGTGTCAAGGATTTCGGCGGAATATGTCCTCCCTAGGCCCTACTTGCGAATGTGGCCATCAAGCATGTTACCATGCACCGGGTGACAGGGTGAGCAGTTTTCTGGCTCAGCAGCCGGCCTCACCACCAGTGCTACCGACGAAGATGGCTCTGCTAGAGCGGATCTGTCGGCTAGAGGAGCAGCACAGACATGATCGTAGGCTTTGGGAAGAGGAATTGAAAGAGGAAAGACGCGCACGCCGTGAAGATACTAGGGTTCTAAGGGAGGCTATGCATTCGTTTTATAAGTTTATGGAGGGGGAGGTACCACGCAAGTTTGCCGCTGTTGATGATAAAACTGACAGCTTGTTGGATCATGTGTCGAGGTTGGAGGAGAGGATTACCATAATTGATGATTCAACTATGACTTTAGAGAACCGTGTTTCGGATCTTGAAGTTGATGAGGATGAGGATGATGATAATGGTTGCAGTGATGAGAGTCATAATGTTGAGATGGAAACCGAAGAATCGAACGAGCACGAACAAAGGGGTGATGAAAATCTGAACCCTACTCGGGCCATGCGAAAATCGTCAAAGAGGGAGCCTGTTCCTATCAAGAAGGGAACAACCTGCCCCGAACTAAACAGTACGTCTCGGTTCGAGGATGCTTGCCCTTACAGAACTTCCATGGCACCTCCCAAACGTCCGGCCGGTTTAGAATTCCACCCAGCTAGTCTCTCCATACCGAGTAGCTCAAAATCACCAAGGAAGGCCGATATTAGGCCTCCAAGCCCTACCGCGATATCCACTTTCCCCCTAGATCTTGTTGAGACCTATTCCGCTGCTACCGGCACCCACACATATGTCCACAAACTAACATCCCCACCTCGCGATTTTGTCTCTCCGATCCTCCCCAAGCCAGAAACTCCAACGTGTAAACCCATGTTCCACGGGACCGTCCATACTGAAATGGTTCCTCTCGTCAAATCACCCATTTCCCAATCATCTTCTGCCAAACACAACGAAGACTTCAGTGCCTCAGAGAGTCAGAAACTATGCTGCGTGGTATATCCTGTGGACACCGACCAGTTTTTTGGGCCATACTGTGAATTGCCGAATTCCGTGTTGATGAAACGAAAATTCGAAGCGGGGGGGTACCAGCAAACCGAGATGGGGAGAGGCTTAACGAGGAGGGACCGGCCAAAGTTCATCCCAATACCGCCGCCACTATCACTGTCAGGCTCAGACCTTGAAGCCTGAATCAGGTTTCTGGAATGGAATATTCCATCATAAGTCCTTTGAGAGCAATCACAGCTGAGATGTGAATGATACGGTCTGTTCAACTCTCGCATTATCAAGCAACCTATCGCTTGATTGTGGCGCTCAGTCCTTCACTCCAGAGTAAAAAAAAGATAGATGCCAATTAATCAATACTCTAATGTAAGAGTCGACTATCACAATGCACATCTGCTTCCCTTTTCAAACCCATCTCTCAAGTGTTGCGAACTCTGAAGTGATTACAGTGATTTGTGTTTGCTCTATCCACGGTTACCCTATTCTCAACGAATCACGTGAAATTGTCCGATACCTTCCACCCTTGCATCCCGCTCCGCTCCGCTCTCCTCCTAACTCTGAACCAGCTCACCCCCCACCCGGGGCGCGGTGGCTCCCCTCCACACATTACGATCTCCGCTGACAGATATGTCGACATGTTAGGTATCCGTGGATCTCTCTCTCCCTTGGTAGCAGTGTTTACCTTGAAATGAATATTACGCCTTTTTATCTTCTTCTCATGTCAAATGCAGATCTTCTAAGATCATACCAACAAAACACCATCTATAGAACTCAGGGACACGTCTTGTTTCTTTTTCTCTTTCTTTTCTTTTCTTTTTTTCTTTCCAAGGACGTTTATTTTGTGAATCAGGCATTTTTCTCTCAGATTTCTCTTTCCTCCCCTTCCCCAATTTTTCATATCTACAACCCCGCACGTTTTGCTTAGTTAAAGTTATCCTTTCTACCCCCTTAACGATTCACTTCTGATTTCATTCTTCCTCATATCGCGCTCCGGGTGACACTCTCCTATATTCTATTTAGCAAATAGGGCGAGTCAAGGTATAGAATTTCCCTAGCATGGGTATGGTGTACATAAAAAGTATAGATGAAATATGAAATGTTTTTGTTTGCACTCCCTGTCCGGTTGTTTAAGTATGCTTGATTATATATCAATCCAATTAATAAGAAGGTATTATCTATCACTCCTTCACTTGTTTTCTTTTTACGTAAGGCACAAAATCTATGTGCTTCGTATGTAGTAGGAGTAATATAGGAGTGTCATGTGAAGCGATGTGGTCGCATAACTCTCAGCAAATCCGGCGCTCCTTATGCTGCAAATCTTGATAAGTGTAATATCAAAAGGTGGGGGAATAGTTCAAAAGAGCAAGGGTTAGGTATAAACATTGAAAAAAGGATTCCCAAAAAGCTCCGAAAAAAATATACCCCTCTCAATCTCCATCCGCATAAATTCTTCATCTTTCAATTCAACGCGTCTTATCTTCACCACCTTCTCAAAATGAACTCCCAGCGTGAAATATCTATTCAAAAAGCTATTGAAGAATTGGAAAATGGTTCTATTTCTTCTGTTAAAGCTGCAGCTGCAGCTTACAAGCTTCCACAAACCACTCTACGCGACTGATTAGCCGGCAGAAGCAACCGCAATATAGCTCATCAGCAGGCGCAAAGATTAAGTCCTGAACAAGAGAAATGCCTAGTTGCATGGATTCTAGATGAAGATGCCCAAACCCCATCCTCCCTCCCTGTCTACGAGAAATGGCCTCTCAAATTCTGAAGGTTAATGGAGATACTTGCTCCTCTTAAAAAAGAATAAACTGCTAGATTCTTAAAGTGCAATCCTAGCGTTTCTTCTTGTGCTGGTAAAAGAAAAGATGTCAAAAGTTCTATAACCCCTTTAATGAGACACAAACTCATTATAACATACAGACGGAGAATATATGGAATACGGATGAGCATGAAATAGCTCAAGGAGTCTGTTCAAAAGCTAGAGTGCTAGCTGAGTCAGGAAAGAAGTCAACCTATGTGGAAACTCCAGAGAATTGAGACTGGGTTTCAAGTATGGAAACTGTCAGTGCTGCTGATCAGTTTATCAAGCCCTTGATAATTTTTAAAGACAAATATCCTCAGGCCACTTGGTTAAAAGCTCGAGAAGTGCCAGATTGAGTGTATACTAGCTCTAAAAATTGATGGAACTCAAATAAGCTGGCAATCAGCTGGCTTAAGAAGATCTTTCTTCCTAAAACTGTGTCTGCAGTTTGAGGCTCTAGATTACTGCTTCTAGATGGTCACGAAGGTCATACAAGCATCGAATTTCTATGGCTTTGTCATACAAATAAGGTGCATGTAGTCTCTCTACCAGCACATTTCTCTCACATGCTGCAATCACTGAATTTATCTGTGTTTTCACCTATGAAATCCTACTATCAAGCTTTCATAGGGGATCTAATCTATCTGGAAGATTCAGCTCCAGTGAAGAAGTTAAGATTTATCAGGCCTATCCAGTGGCACGTTCAAAAACTTTAAATCCAATGAGAATATGGAATGGATGGAAAGCAGCTGAACTGGTGCCTTGAAATTCTGCTAAGGCATTGAACCTAAAATGGTAGACCCCCTACTAACTCCCCCCTGAAATTCTCAGCACATATATATGGCTTTACAGCAGTTGGAATGTTGATGGAATATTGAACTGAAGTCAAAAGACCTTCTTACACAAAGTTAGTAAGGCTATTGAAGGCTTGAATGCTCAGCCAGGCAGCTCAGAAAGCTACAATTTATAAGCTTTCTAGTTAATTTTAAATATTAAAAAGAGAATTTTATTCTGATCCTAATAGAAAATTTGCTGATGTTGAAAACATTAAGGCTCTTCATGAAGCTGTTGTTTTGGAGGTCAGAAATGAGGCTAGAAAGCCAGAAATCCAAGTCAAAAAGACTGCAGCAGCAGTATTAGAAGTAGGTCTACAAGCATGTATGATAGAATGGCAGGCTTATTTGAATTCATGGAATTGTTGGGGTTTTTGATGAAGTAGCCAAGTTTTGAGAAGGTGGCGACTAGAGGAGGATGGCGAGTAGCCCAGGTTCCATCTTACTCAAGGAAAACAAAACAAATACACCTCTATTTGGTGATCTATCAATCTCACTCTTTTGTACAGATACATAAGTATATAGGTCCTATTCGTTTAAATCTTTTTCTTGCCTTTATTGTTGTCCAGCTTCTCTTTGTCCGCCAACTTCTTCGCCTTCTCCCATTTCTGCACCAACCCCTCCGCTCCAATCCCCCCGAACACTAGCCCAACACCTATCCACTGCCCGCCGCTCAAACGATGACCGAACCACATCACACTCAAGAGCATTGTAAGCATCTTCCTAGTCACGGTAACTGTAACAAGCAGTAATGAGGAGAAGCGCGCAAGAGTGTGGAAGATGAATAACTGGCCAATTGCACCGCAAGTGGCGAAGGCAATGACATCCTTTATCGCGGTTGGGTGGCGAGATAAGAAAGCAAGTGCAGAGGATAGTTCAGAGGTATCCGATAGGTCGATGGGGAGGGGCATGAGTGGGAGGATTGAGGTGGATATATGCGGTGTGACAAGAAGGTAGGTGGCTGTTAGGAGTGTGGAAAGAAGATTGTGTGCCACCATCATCTGCGGGCCGGTAAAGCGGGTGTATAGCTTCGGTGAGGAGAAGATGTGATCTTGGGTGGTGTTTGTGAGACCGTCCAGAAGGAGATTTATGGAAAGAAGGAAGAGGCCGTAGAGGGAGGAACCGTTTCCATTGTTATGGTTGTTCTTCTTTTTACTGGACGTGGGGTGGTGGAGGGTAAATGTTGCGACGCCAATGGTTACTAGGAGAATGACGCCGTACTTATAAAGCGGGTAGCGTTTGCGGAAGATGGCGAGGTGGAGGAACATTACTGGGAGGAGTTTGCAGGACTTGGCGAGAATGAAGGTCAAATAGTCGATGTGGCCAAGGCTGGCGTAGCCAAAGGGCGAGGCGAGAGAGGAGGATATGCTGATGAGGATAAGCGGAAAGACGATGCGCCTGGTCGGAAAGACTGGGGGAAGTTTTCTGCCTTGCGGCGTGGAAAAGTAGAGATACACAAAGCCTGTAATGGCGGCAAAAAAGGACTGGATTGTGTTTAGGACGACAGGAAACTTCCATCGTTCTGTTGGTGGTTTGACGTTCTCTGCGGTAGGGGGTGAGATGGGGAAGGCAGTGGTAGTGATGGCTTCTTGAAGGACACCCCACGACAAACTTCAAATAATTACAACCGTTAGCTTTTGCATGTTGAATGAAGTAGGCAACCTTTCTTACAATGAAGCATATATTCCCCCGACACATAAAACCAATTGAAGAAGACCGGCGTCTGGGGAATGCCGACCAACCTTCTTCGAAGGTTGGTTGGAAGCGACACCATTGGTCTGCCGGGCATCAGGTTCTGGGAGATTTGGAAGTTCGTTCATGATCCCGGACGAGGGAGCCCTTTGCAAGGGAGCCTTTTGTTTTTGACGCGCCACGGTGACTTTAATTAATGGAGCATTAAATTAATTTCGCAAGAAGGGCGGTGGAGAGAAAGAAGTATTACAAAATGGAGACGATATGAAGCGACGGGAGAGATACGCAGATCTGCTCCATAGAGTGCTGGATTATGGTAGACAACAGGAAAACCTCTAGAACCAAAAAAAAATAGGGTTGTTGGAGAGCAGCACAACCCGCACGTCGAATGGAGGAGAAATGGGGTATATTGGGGTAAATAAATCTTAGACGAACTATTGTTAAATGGAGGCTATCCGCAAATTTAAGCTTGAGGTTGTTGATGCCATCTGTTCTATTCGCGGGCTGCGGAGTTTACCTAAGCAGCCCGCCGATGAGGTCTTGGCTTCGTTCCCCCACTCGACAGCTTCCAACCAGCATCGGAGGTCGCTTGGTTGATCTCCACTGCTTCTCGAAATGTCAACCGTCGGTTGAACCATCCACTCCATGACTCAGTTTCAATAATAGGCATTGTTGACATATAACCAATTGCCCATTTGTTTTTAAAAAAAAAAAAAAAAAAAAAAAAAAGAAAAAAAAAAGAGCTCTATATTGCACTACATTGGATTCATGCTGCTGACAACTTCCATTTGGCCTACAACGCTACAAACTTTGTCCAGGCGCGTAGCTCATCATCTTGAGACCAGCTTACAGACACCAGAGACTGAGGAGCAGAGCTTGAAATATCTGCACACCAAAGTCAAGACCCAACCCTCCCCTCAGTCACCTCAAATTTATCTTCCCATAACCTCCCCGCCACTCCGCACTGTGTGCTACTCCATACACCCATCATGCCGCCCGGCACAGTGACACCTCCCTTCCCCTCTGCCCTATCAACCCTTACACACCCCACCTCCCAAAACCCAATAAGCTCCTTAACCACTCAAATTCAACACAACCTCCAATACCAACACCGTTGGACATCACTGCGCATCCACTCTCCTCACACCCTCTCCCCAAGCCAAAACATAACCCTCATATCCGGCCTTCCCCCACAAACCCTCTACACCCACCAGGACGAACAAGCATACATGCTCGAGCACGGAATTAACCCAGATGACGTCCCTACGGAGCGTGAGTGGGTTATACCGACGGCGCAAGGGCAGGCGTGGAGTTTGAGGCAATTAGCAGAGTGTTTTGACGTGATACCATTGCCCGATAGCAAGCATGCGGAAGGGGTTGAGAACGTTGTCGGAATGACGGTGGAGAAAGGCGGCGATAGCAGAAGCAATGGGATTTCAGAAGTAAAGAGTGGAGAAGGCAAGGGGATGAAGACGGAAAAGAAGAGTAAGGAAGAGATATTTGCGGAATATCAACGGCGGAAAAGGGGGAAGGAGTGGGGCGGGAAGAGGGCTTTGTTGGCCATGGTGGATAGGGGCAAGGGCGGGGATGGGACGGTGGTTTACTACGTTGTGCTCGAAGGGAGTGTGAAGCCTAGGCAAAATTGAGGTGCTTGATGGTTTATAAATAAAAAGAAACCGCGGTTGCTGATATCCGTTCTCCCCCGTTTTTGTTGGTGGAGGGGTTCACCTTGACCACTTGGTTTCAAAAACCCCACCTCCAGCGATATTGTTGCCTGGACCTGTCGTTGGATGTCAACCGCAAATTCATGTCAAGAGGATACGAGCCTATATCTTTTGAATCTGTATCTGGATTTGCTCGCAAAAGAGCTGTAGAGTAGGCGTTTCCTTCAATCCCGGTCCCCATGAATGCACGCCACCAGAAATACCGGAATGAAACATCACTGTCTCACAAAGAAAGGGCCTTCGATACCTCCAAAATATCGGGTCGAAATTAAAAGCTATACATCTATCTATTCGTTAAAGATATTCCGTCCGAAAAGAATAAGGAATAAAGATATACTCTTCGCAGCTTCAAAGGGGTAGAAAAAAACGATGGTACGATCTCTCCCCCAACAAACCCATAATTAAAAAAAAAAACACCCCCATACAAAATTCTGTCATTAAGTCATCCGCCATGTTCCCCTGAACACCACCTTAGCTGGGTATCACATACTGCCCAATCCAAAACCGAAACAAAGAAAAGCTGTGAAAGCAAAATTAAAAAAAAAAAAAAAAAAAAAAAAAAAAAAAGGAAATGGGCCAGGAGAAATGTGCCAGAGCCTCAGATACATGTATATATACATATATAACATCAGCAACCCCTTATTGACCAAGCGTCCTCTCCAACTCCCTCTGACAACTCAAACAATAATCTGTATACCAATGCCAGATATCATCTATCTCCGCCGCAGCAAACCGTTTCCCAAAACCCATAACAATTTCGTCAGTGTCACCATTGCTCCTGTTATCGCTATTTTTTCCCTGTTCACGATCTTTCAACATAACTTCAATGATGTGGCACCTTTCCGTCTCCTGTTGAAGCCACCGTTCCCACTCAACTTGCACCACCTCTTTTTCTATCCGGTTCACTACCCTTAATGCAACGAGGAGGTTGTGCCGGTAAACCCCCAGACGATCCCTGGTACGTTGGAGCTGCTGTGCTGCTTGTTTTGCTTTTGTGTCCCGGCCAGCGGAAGGTTTAAGGAACCACGATATATCTGTGGCTTTTAGCGCGTTGTTTTCCTGGAAAGTTGCAAAGCTAGAATAGATAACCAGAATCAGCGACTGTGGGGTGCATGTGGCCGAATATAACAAGCTGTGAAATGAATGAACTGTGGACAATATGAGAAAATATCAATAAACCTACCAGGAGCTTGAGTTGTTCATTTCGATCCCACTCGCATTGGCAATCACAGCATCCATATCCTTAATATACACCGCCTTGCTCATAATGGTATTAGGCCCAACCCCAATCCGGCTCATAAAATTGCCTGCATTGCGCTCTTGCCACCATTCAAGCGTATCATTGTACGAATGGAACCCATTGATGAGAACACTGAACAGAAGTAGCAAGAGTATAATGCTGTGCGCACTGAATGCTTTCCATACCCATCTAATGAGTGCCCAGAACCATATCATAAAGGAGGAAACTGCGCTCTGCAGCAAGGACCCGGACGTCTCTAGGAGTAGTGGGATGACGCCGCTCTGTCTGAGAGGCCGGCGAAGTCTTGATTTCAAAATTTGTAAGTCTTCGGTGAACTCAGTTACATGACTTTGGCGACCTATGTGGCCAAATTGGGCAATAGCCCTTTTCGTCTGGTTATGGGGGCCGAGTCTTTTAACATCTTCAGAGACAAGGTCCACAAGATCAAGTGCATCTTGCTCAAGATCGTTCATGGCTTGCCTGTCGATTATACCTTAATTCACAATGTAAGTTATTCTTAAGTCGGGCACGAAAATCTAGGACATAGGGCAAAAGTGTCAACTTACTTCGGATAAGGTATGGTTCCCATAACCATTCAACTTTAGTGAATATGGCAAGTTTACATCTGGACTTCGAAACATGGGTAATAACAATCTTGCTAACCAGCCTGAAATAACGTTTGAATGGGAGATGCCAGGGTGTCCGTTTGTCCGTAACAACGTAGCATAAGTGGCCATTCTGAACATCAATAATCTGATAGTCAGATACGTCAGTGAGTCGAAACCGTCCTATAATAAAAATTGTTAACTGGGATCCTATTATGGGGTACGAAATTTGAACTTACCGAACGTATCAGCCATCTTTATCTGATATTGTATATCACGTCTCATATGCGCACCATGGCGATTCGACCAGGGTCCCAGTTTAATGTCTTTGTATCACCATATTAGCTAATGCTCTTCCCCACGCATGGGAAGATACATAACTTACTTTGGGCTCTCCGTTGATGTTGCAGCAGCTGCCAAACAACAGTTCTATCCCCGAAAAGGATATGAAACAAGGCTTTCGCGCTGACGTCAAAGATTTTCTCCGCAGCCAAATTAGGAGCTCCCTGAGGCACATATTCCACCGGGTGAGATGGTAACTTAAGTCGAGGTACGTCGAGATGATGGTTATTATGACGGCCCAACTTGCCTTTATGCATATCCAGGCTCTTGTCGATGTGTATTGCCGGCTTGAAAAGTGACTCTGGACGTTTGCCGGTGGCATCATGCGTTCCATCAATTGGGGTGTTTGGGGACACATCCTCCCAGCTCTCCGCACTAGGCGTCCTAGGAATATCCTGTTCCATTTTCACCAGGGTTTTGAATATGGCTTCAAGGTTAGCTGGCTCTTTTGCAGATGTCATCGTAATAAGGTAATTCAATCGCTTTTGAATTAGCTTCCACGGCTCCAGAAATGTTTTTATGGTAAGTCGTCCTGGAATATCGCTTCCTTGGTCAGGGGCCAGGTGAAGGAATAAGAAATCGCAATCTCTACCCGGAGCGGCCGTGACTTCCGTTATAAGATCAAGACTGACACAGTTTATCAGCACAAGATTGAAATGATTGCTGTAAAAGTAGATATTTTTCGTCGTGACAAAAGCTCGTCCAGGGAAGTCATGCTGGCCATTCGGGCTAAAACTTGCTCGGAATACAAAAACAAGAGCCTCATCCGCTGGTACGCCAGGTAAAAGGAGCCGGAACTGGGAGTCGTGTGGTTTTAACTGTGCGGGATAATAACTGGGGTACTCATATGTGACTGCAGCGCTGTCCTCTATGGCGCCTGAGTCGCCGCCACCAAGACTGACGGTTTGCCGGTGCTGAGGACCAGTTGGTGGTGCAGTGGTGTTGCCTGATGAAGTATTGACGGAACCGCTGGGCTAGAATGCAGTTATCTAGGTTAGGTGAATGCACACAGCCGCTGTTAAACATGTGGACAATCGAAAAAGCATACCTGGCTATTAGTCTTCCCAGCTGAGGTAGATAATTTTTTACGCTCCAGCTTGTTCACATACCCCCAATTTGAACTTCCCCAAAGGTTTGCCAGTATACCGTTTGGTATCCCTACCAGCCCGTCTGACATTCTTATCCCAACTCCCCTTTCACTACTTACAATTACTGCTGCTCTACTCATACTAGTTGGGGCGGGAGGATTCGCCAACGTTGGCGGCGCGAGAGTGCCAATGGGTGAATCTCGAGCATTGTAGTTACTGGTCACCAGAGTTTTGGGTTTATTTTCGATTTCGGAGGCGGTAACTGATAAAGATGCGTTTAGAGGTAGAAGAGTGTGACTGGCAGATATTAGGCTAGCTATCCCGGGTGAACTAGATGGTAGCGACGAAGTTGCAGACTGCTGTAAGCCTGTTGCTGCGCGGCGGTGAATGTCAAGCTTCTGAATGAGCCTAGATCCATGGTCTCTCCCACCCTCCATCTCACGATCGAGGGTTGTTGATCGCCTTGCAACTGGAAACTCGGTACTATTTCGCACAGCCAGGCCGTCTCGATCAGTAGCTTGAACTGTTGAGCATCGGTCGAGAATGGAAGAAGACTCATCATTTGCGTTGGGCGTGAGGGACTCCAAGCTATCTGCAGCAAACTCAGGTGCAGGCGGTTGGGAAATTGAGAATGCTGGGTCTTGGGCTGAGGGCTTTCCAGGCAAAGGGGTAGGGCTGGGGCTATCGAGGGCTTTTCGCTTAGCCGCTTCGAAAGATCCGATCCATTCCGTGAGCTCCCTCTGAGTCTCAGCTTGTAGCATTATGGTATTATTTTTAGTCTTCACCTCAAAGCAAAATCGGCGTTCCTCCTGGAACGCAGGACGAATACTACATAGGAGAACCCCTATTCTCTCACTCTCCTCCACACCACCTGTTCGAGAACCTTGTACTAGACAGCCAAAAACACCACTGTTTAGAAAGGTCCAGCGCCGGACCCATGCTGTTCTCGCCGGTTTCCCCGTTAAGATTCTCAAGTTCAGCCATCCTTGCTTTTGGGGAGAGAAACTGTGGTCCTTTGCCATTTTAAGGGGAGTGGGACCATGCGATCCAAGGTGCGGTACCGTAGAGACCGAGTAATCGTCAAGTTCACGAGAGGGGCGAACCGCGAGCTCAGCTGCTTCTTCGATCTGCTTCCGCGCAGCCAGCAGATCACGCTTTGACAACTTCTCGCTCGTCTCCATCTCATGCGTCCAACCTTTTATGCGGTCCATCTCCTGGCCATATTTTAAATAGGTTGAAGAATTGTTATCCCGCAAAATCTTAAACTCCCTCCACTGATCGAAAGAAATGCGGACTATGAGCTTATCGAGGGTATTCTTTATCTGAGGTGCTTGAATGCAAAAGTCCATCGAAGCCTTTAAGTAAGCCTTATGAGCTTCATGCAACTGGAACGCATCTTCTCGCAGCGATGAAGGCTCTTTGGATTTGCCCTGGGCGGAATATTTGGCCTGTAAGCTGTCATGCTGTTTCTGGGCTAGCTCAAGCGTACGACGAGTTTCCTGACATAACCGGATAGAGTTAATAAATAAACAATTAACGCCTAAGCGGGGTCATAACGGGGGGAAATAATAACAACGAGCGAGAAGCCGCTAACCTTGAACTGCCGCAGATCATTCTGGATAAACGCTCGAATAGGCTCAGTAATCAAACTGTCCGACTTCTTGACATTTGACAACACTCCAGCCCAGAAATCTTTCACGCTTTCTCCACACCGCTTCAACGCAAGTAAAGCATAATCATGATCGACGACAGCTTCCGAGATGGCTACTGGAGCTGGGATGGAGGATATGAAGTTGTTGGCCACGGCTTCGAGCGACGAGAGCTCCGAACCCAGCTTCCCGGCACTCCTAGCATATCCGTCCAGCCATTTCTCGACTAAATCGATCTGTTCGGCAAAGTGAACTGCTGAAGCGCGAAAAGTTGGGGAGTCGAGGGCAGCCTCCTTTAAGCCAACCGGGCTGGATGTAAAATCCGTGTTAGCACCTGGAAACCTACATAGACAGATACACGCATGCACGACATGATAAACGTAACATACATAGCATTAATAACATTCCCATCCTGGGGAAGAGAGGATGCTGGAGGGGACGACATCTAGCAGAGTATCATAGGTTTGCAGACCGCTGTGTTTTCGTAGATGGAATGAGGGAGGCGCATTCATAAACGCCCCCCCGATGCAATTAGAAGATAGGCCACATGGCAAAGATATACACTTGCAGGAGGAATATATATAGTAAGAAGTAAGACATAGAAGAGAAGAGCAAGAGAAGAATGTTGTCGGATTGGTGTAGTGGTTGGTGGTATGTCGTTGTGGTGTAGAGCCGTCAATGGCGCGCGCGCTCTTAGGCTGTATCCGCCTTTCCACAGCGTCACTTTTCGCTAATGGCCGAACCGCTGCTGGCTTCTTCTGCTATTGGCCACTAAGGATTAAGCTCACTCCACAAACAGTGCAAAGAAATGAAATACGAAAAAAGGACCTAAGCCCCACCAGGAATAAATAAATGTATGACTACTATCAGCGCTAATAAATTGTTGACAACAGGGTTCTTTTGCTGTATTTTCACTTTAACCTTTTGTGATTATTGCCCACCTGTCCCGGTTCTCTTAAAAAGAGGATCGGTTCTTCTGCGTTAAAACATGGAGCCACCGGCCAAAAAGCAGAAAAAGCTGCTGATGGACGATGACAGCGCTGACGACAGCAGCGACGACGGAGGAGCTCTGTTGGGCAACGGTGAAAATGTGGGATTCAAAATAAACGAGGAGTATGCCAAACGGTTTGAATACAACAAGAAGAGAGAGGAATTACAACAATGTGCGTTTGGTCCCCTTGTTTTTACTCTAATTCTACTTTTCTAGAATTGGAAATTGTCTTACCTGAAAAATTGCAGTGGAGGACAAATACGGAAAATCAGTCGGTCTTGGGAAGCGAAAAACGACAGGAGACTCTTCCACCGAATCAGACGGATCAGAAGGCTCCTTATCCGAGTCTGAAGAAGAAGACGACGAAGGAGTGCTGGCAACCGAAGCCCTCGACCGCGAAATCTTCGACACCCTGAACGCCATTCGCTCCAAGGACCCCAGGGTCTACGATGCCAATGTGAAATTCTACAAGGAAATCAAAGAAATTGATGAGGAGACGGCTAGATCGGATAAGAAGGAGAAGCCGATGCTCCTACGGGATTACCACAGGGAGAATTTGTTGCGTGGTGCAAATGATGAGAAGGATGAGGATGCGCCAAAAACGTTTGTACAGGAACAAGAAGAGCTAAAACGGGAGATTATTAAAGAAATGCATAATAACGGAGATGAGGACGAGGACGAGGATGAGGATGGTGATTTTCTCATCCCAAAGACAAAGCCAACATTTCCGAATGCTGCTGCTACTTCTACGAAGCCTGTACAATTAGATGTCGAATCTGCGGATAAGGATCCGGAAGCTTTCTTATCCGACTTCCTGGCTGCCAGAGCCTGGGTTCCTACAGAACGATCAAATTTCCAGCCTTTTGAATCTGACGACGAGGAAGAAGAACAAAAGGCGGAGATTTTTGAGGAGGCCTATAACTTCCGATTCGAGGATCCTAACAAACTAAACGAGGCATTGGTCACCCATTCCCGAGACACTACTTCCAAATTCTCGGTTAGGAGGGAAGAGCTAAGCGGCAGGAAGAAGAAGAGAGAGGCTGAGAGGCTAAGGAAGGAAGATGAGAAGAAGCAACGAGAAGCGGAGCGCAACCGTCTCCGGAAGCTGAAGATTGAACAGATTGGAGAGAAGATTGAGAAGATCAAGGCTGCGTCTGGGCTTAAGACTTCTGATTTCAGTGAGGAGGATTGGGCGCGTTTCCTTGACGATGGATGGGATGATGCGAAGTGGGAAGAGGAGATGAGGAAGAAGTTTGATGAGAAGTACTATGCTGAGAGGGAGGGTAGTGATGTTGAGGACGATGGCGCTTCCGGTAAACGAAAGTTGAAAAAACCCAAGTGGGATGATGATATCGACATCAAGGACTTGGTCCCTGACTTTGATGACGAAGAGAAAGTGAAAGTTCAGCTTAGTGATATTGGCATGCAAGACGATGGAGAAAACGATAACTACGAGGATGTTGACATGGACGACGAGGACGAGGATACCACTGAATCCAAGTCCCATAAAAATAAGAAGAAGAAGGCACTACAGGACAAAAAGGAGAAACAAAAAGAATCAAGAAAAGAGCGCCGCAAAATCGAACAGCTCGTCGACCGCAGCCTTGACCTAGATCTTGCCACCGCTCAACTCCCAGGCTCCTCGAAGAAGTACAGCGGCCTCTTCCGCTACCGAGAAACGTCACCCATGAGCTTTGGGCTGACTGCCCGAGACATCCTCATGGCGGATGACAGCCAATTGAACCAGTTTGTCGGGCTGAAGAAACTGGCGTCGTTCCGGGACCCGGAGAGGAAGAGGCGCGACCTGAAGAAGATGGGGAAGAAGGCCAGGCTACGACAGTGGCGCAAGGAGACATTTGGAGATGAGAATGGCTTCGCTGAAGAGTTTGCGCTGGCTCGGGCTTCGGCTGAGATACCGGACAAAAATGTTGCCGATAATAATAGGGAGAATAGGAGGGATGGTGAAAGGGGGATGGAGGTGGATATTCGGGAAGGTAAGAAGCGGCGGAAGCGGTCGAAGAAGAAGCACTAAAATGGGATGCGTTGCTATTGCTATGTTGCTATGTTGCTATGTTGCTGTGTTTTACTGTTTGGTACCTAACTAACTATATATCGATGGTGATTTTTAAGTTACGTCTTTATTCTGGTTCATTGGAAAAGTTTAACTACATGGGAGATGGTAAAGATGCACGCCAATCAGACGAGGGATGTTAGGATTTGATCAGAGATCTGGGCTGTATGAAGCATGAACCGGGTCATTAATTATGTGTGTAAACAAGATAGCACCAAATAAAGATCTATTAATTATGTGTGCAAACAAGGACAGCATCCAAATAAAGATCTACCAAAGAAGAATACTCCACATTTTATATTGAAGTCATAGGAGCAAATAAGCAGCTTGAGCTTCATTATTGATGCTGTAATTATTCTCTGATGTGATTTACTTTTCGAGGAATGAGGGCGCAGGTTGTTTGGTAGTTACTCTGTATGAACACCGCAGAACAAGACAGTACAGATATCTGCCCCCACAGACGATCTTGGTCGAATCCCCTTTTTTTCGGCTAAAGATATACAGCCCACTCCCGCATAATTAAGTAAATTTTATCAAAAGAAAATAAATAAAAATAAACAAATAAATAAATAAAATAAAATAAAAAAATAAATATCCCACAGCAACCCATTTCCCAGCGTGGTCCGAGGTGGAGCCCTTCCCGCGATCGGAAAATGTCGGCTGTTGCAGCGTGTGGCCCAAAGCGGTTTAGCGCGCTAAAAATCCTTCTCCTGCCCTGCCAACCGCATTTATTCCGCTTCTCACTGCAAAATTTTTTTCTCCTTTCTCCTCTCTTCCATCTCCCGGTTTTGACCACCTCATCCATCCCTCCGCCATCCAGTCATCCCTCAGAGGCAGTCTCTTGTGGTTTTCCGCTTTCACTCTCTCAACCTCTACTCTCCCTCCAGACTTTCTTTTTTTTTTTTTTGGTTTCGCTATAGCGCTTCTTCACATCACACAAAATGGCTCAAGATAAGTCCTTTATGGGCATGCCCGTAAGTTATCCCCATGGCCCCCAATCAGAATCCCTCCGTCGATTTCCGCCACTTTAGGCACTGCGCATCATCGCTTCTGGTTACTTGCATGTCTTGGAAGGCCTTGGGAATTGATGATGCCCTGTTGTAGGGTTGAAAGATGCCCTCTCAACCCTTCGTTCATGACTTGTCCATGGGATCTCCCTTTCCATCGCAATTTCAAATTAGTGGCTAATGTATCCATTACTTTTCCCTGTAGGGCTTCGTCGTCGACTTCATGAGTATGTCCCCATATCCTTATCGCGTTTATTCCATGATAGCCACTGTCGCGGCATTGTACCACCATGATCCGTTGAACGCGTTGTGAACAATTTTAATTTTCGTCGAATGGGCTGGAACTAACATAATGCGACCTAACAGTGGGTGGAGTCTCCGCCGCCGTGTCGAAGACTGCTGCTGCCCCCATCGAGCGTATCAAGCTCCTCATTCAGAACCAAGTAAGTGGCCAAAGAAAATAAACGAAGAAATCAACACCATACCCAAACCCTAACCCTTAAATTTTAGTTAGAAATTGTAAATTGATCCTAACAGATTGTTTTAGGACGAGATGTTGAAGACTGGCCGTCTTGACCACAAATACAACGGCATCATGGACTGCTTCAGCCGGACTATGAAGAACGAGGGTATCGTCTCGCTGTGGAGAGGAAACACTGCCAACGTCATCCGTTACTTCCCTACCCAGGCCCTCAACTTTGCTTTCCGTGATACCTACAAATCCATGTTCAACTTCAAGAAAGAGAGGGATGGATATGCCAAGTGGATGGCTGGTAACTTGGCTTCTGGTGGTGTAAGTATTGACCATTGACATCACCATAATACGATAATACGAGGTTGCAACTCCACAGGAGCAATTCTAGAAAGTAATAACTTGATATGACAGGCTGCTGGTGCCACCTCTCTCCTCTTCGTCTACTCTCTCGACTACGCCCGTACCCGCCTTGCCAACGACGCCAAGAGTGCCAAGGGTACCGGTGAGCGTCAATTCAACGGCCTCGTAGATGTCTACAGAAAGACCCTCGCGTCTGATGGTATCGCTGGTCTCTACCGTGGTTTCGGTCCCTCCGTTCTTGGAATTGTTGTCTACCGTGGTTTGTACTTCGGCATGTACGACTCCATCAAGCCTGTCCTGCTTGTTGGTCCTCTTGAAGGCAGCTTCATCGCCTCGTTCTTGCTCGGCTGGGGTGTCACCACTGGTGCTGGTATTGCTTCTTATCCTCTGGACACTATCCGTCGTCGTATGATGATGACCTCTGGTGAGGTATGTATAATCCTCAAGTCACCCGCGTTGGATCCTTAACATAGCCGATCTTTCTTTGTGCTGATCCATAATCTTTTCTCAATCAAACAGGCCGTTAAATACTCTTCTTCTTTCGATGCCGCCCGACAGATTGCTGCCAAGGAAGGCGTCCGATCCTTCTTCAAGGGTGCCGGTGCTAACATCCTCCGTGGTGTTGCTGGAGCTGGTGTGCTCTCCATCTACGACCAGGTCCAGCTCCTCCTCTTCGGCAAGGCTTTCAAATAAGCGTATGTATTATTTATTAAATTCCTTCGATACTAATTCCTTGTGGTTGAGTGGATGGGCTGGGTTGTGGTGATGTGATGGGTGTGTGAAGGGGTTATGTGGGATGTGGGTGTGGATTTGAGGGGCTTGAGCGTTGTATGAGATGAGAGGCTCGAAGAAAAAAAAGATAGAAGAAATATGTGCGTCAAGATCAGTTTGATCTTGGAGCATTAAAGCAAATTTTTTTTTTTTTTTTCCTCCCTTTTTCACCTGTTGTAACTTTACTATACTGCTTGCGAGCTTTTCTTTCTCTGTACTTCCCTCTTGTTTGATTTTGGCATTCAATCAATTCTCTCTCACGTTTTCTTTTCTCTATATGTTTCCTAGCTGTTTTTTCCACCACAATTACCTGTGTCTGAATAGAGAATGTTCTTTGTGTTAAATGGGTCCAACAAGTAGAGATTTATTGTATTCATCCTTCAATGTTACTTCTGCTAGAATGTGGCAGCTACATTCCTGGAACTGTCAATACAGGTACTAGGATTTTGGAGTCCACGTGACTGATGACGTCAGCCTCAGATAGGTCTTTTGGACATTCTCTCAGTCATTATGTTCTACATCCATTTCAATTGTACGGTTCTATCATAGATTACTAGAATTGCAAGTCCACCAACATTTTCTCGCTGTTATTAAGTCATACTGCCCACCTCCAAGCGGACACATCTCAACAGACTGCATCTAGCAAACCAATGTCAACGGAGTCTAACTCCACTACGCAAGGAACGACACCACCTGTACATCTACATTCCCATCCATGACCTCTTCCTCTCCTATCAACAGTAATTCTGGTGCTCCGCCCGAAACCCACGATTCCTCCTCTGTGATGGAGGGCCCAGACTCTCTCTCACCGTCATCCACGCAGACAACCACTATCTCCCCCAGCGTATCAAACAAAACATCACCTCCTGCCCCTGTTCCGGGAGCAGAACCAACGCCAGCGCAAAACCCCGCTGCTCTACTAACCCAAACCATTCCTGTAATTGGAACCGGTAAAGGACAAGGAACCAGCCCCACCTCGAACCTCAATCTTCAATCCATCCCTCCACCGCCAAAACCAGGTCAAATCCCCTCTCAACCAACTACTCACACCACAACCCCACCTTCAACCCAACCAACGCATACCCAAACCCAAACCCAGCCCCCACCCAGCCAACAATCCCTCTCCCATCCACCAGGCTACATCCAAAACCCCTCTATAAGCGCACCCATCGACCCCTTCCACAAGCACTCTTACCCAGACGGCGCCGCACGTAGATACAACTACAAATACACCACTAACTCCAGTACCACTCCCGCCTTCCCAGTCTCAGGGGGGTCACAACCCACCGCCACAACGACAGCTACAGCTGTAGCGAGTCCAAACGGTGTCCGCGGCAGATGGCGCTGGGACGACGCGCCCGGTGGTGCGGGGGGCAGGTATGAATATGTAACTGATGGGCGCGAGGAAGATGATGAGGGCAGTTGGACTGCTGCGGGTATTTGGCGGTCAACAGTAGATTTGGCGAAGACGGCTGGAAATAAATTGGCGGAGGTTGAGGAGGGTGTTTGGAGGTGGGTTAATCAGCGGTAGAGGGGGGTGGGAGTGGGGGTTGGGGTTGGGGTTGTTTTGGTTTCTTTTCTGGCTAGGGGATGGGTGATCTTTTTATTTTTATTTATTTATTTATTTATTTATTTATTTATTTATTTATTGTAGTGAGAGGTTTTGGGAGAGGGGGAGGGGGGGATGGTTGTATAGTATGGGTGATTTCTTTTGGTTGTTGGTTGGCTATTTTTTGTGTTCTTTGGATATGCGGTGGGCTGGGTTGTTCATTGAGAAATTATTGTTATTATTATCCGGCGATGGTTTTATTTTTGGTATGCTTAGCTGTCAATTCTTCTTCTCTTGATTTAAAGTCAGGATTTCACACCTGTGTCAGGCCCGTCGGGTGTACATGCCCACTGAATATTCTTATTGACCAAATCAAATCTCTTCATCAGTCAGACAATGTAGCTATGAAAAATAATTGACCAAGTCGCAAGTAGATAGAAATTGGTATACTAGTGTTTTTTATTTATCAAGTTCTCTCAGAATGCAGGAACAGATCAAGAATAGTGAAAGGGAAGCATGAACGGCTGCTTTTAAACATAAGAACCTGAAGAATCACCTAGATGCACAGGAAATAAATCCATAAACGGAATTATATATATATATATATATATTTATTTATTTATTTATTAACATTAAAGGAAGTATAGATGTAATAAGTGGTACCTCTATATAGGTAATGGTGGTAGTGGTAGAATTCCAATCGCAAGGACGTAAGTAGAGGGATCGATATTTAAAAGAAGGGTCACAAAACATAGAAGACATGCTCACTCAAAATCAAACTCTCATCAAAAAAGAAATTCAAAAGGACTTCTAGTACTCTCAGTACTGTACAATGAAGACGACCGAGGCAGTATGTGAAGCATGATAAGGTAAAAAAAAAAAAAAAGAAAGAAAAAGAAAAATAGAGAGAGAGATAAGATCCACATGAGAGAAATAAAAGCAAAATCAATAACTCAGTGCAGCACAGTTAAGTTGACCAAGTTATTTTGTTTTTGGCCTCTCTCATTTTTCTAAAAAAATTTTGTCCCTCTCCCTCCCATTTCTCTTTCCATTTGCACCTTTCTCAAAAGAACTTCTCAAATGTCAAATTGATACTCGAGATCCCATCCTTTTTTTCTGTCCTGTGATTTGCTTAATTAGGCCTGCCCTGGACAATGCCCTTGGGCTATTAAGGAGTTAAAAGAAGACAATACAAAGAAAATAAAGGAGGAAAAAAGGACCTGTTAATGGGGAATACGATGAGGCATCAAAGAATGCAATATGAACAGAAAACAAGAAAGCCTGAACAGAAACTTAAGAATTAGGCATGATATGTATGAGCCAAAGAGATGGTGATTTTGGTTTACATCTCAGGTGGGGATCCCAAGGGGTGTTGAATATATCAAATGAACCAGCAAAAGACAAAGACGGAGTATCAAGGGTGCTTATAGCACCGGAGTGGAGAGTATTCGGGAGGATGAGCAACACGGAAAAAAGAAACCTTAAGAGCACAACAGAAACCCAGCTAGGGCGAAGCTGTTACTTCATTTAGTAATTTCAAACGCCTAAAAAAAGTAATCTTCATCTGTCCCAAATGATTTGTGTGTGCCTGGTGTGTCCTAGGGAGTGGGAACCCAATATGAAGGAGATCGATACAGCCAAGGAAGCAAGAAAAAGGACAACTTGAAAAAGCAACGGAACAACAAGTGGCCTCGTGGTAATGCAAATGGGGGATATAGACACTTGAGAAAAATGCACAAAAACAAGGATACAAAAACCACAGAAAAAAAAAAAGGTTGGAAAAAACGCCATTATTTGATGCAGTCACCGAAGGGCATTTTAGCCAGCCAAACCCAATAACGCAACCGCGAAAAGGTTTGTTTTTCCATCCACTGTCCCCATGTTGGTTGATGTTTGTGGATCGAAGCGCGTCGTCCCTTTGTTCCCACCTGAGTTTAATTGGGTCAAACTTTGGGTGAGTGGATACGGGGGAGGAGCATCGGTAAATCGTGATATAGGGAATTATTACAGTAAACAATAAAAAGGTATTATTAGGAAATGGAACATAAAATGGGGTTCAGCCTGGTCCGGTCCGGCCCAACCAAAAAGCAAAGTTTGGATACATGAGAGAATGGTATGTTGAATATGCGGTAATAAGAGCTTGGTAGTGCAGTGCATTGCTTCGTGTTGCGTTGCGTTGCGCGTCGAAATGTTCCTAGTAAACGAATGAAGAGAACTGAAATATAAAACGGAATTACATAGAACCCAGTTTTAGCAGTGCTTCGACCGCAGCGCGTTCCTCGACGCCACCACCAACACCATCCAAAAGGGAAAAATCAATTGGCTGAATAGGAATCCCACCGGGGGAGGATTTGGTCAGGGCCGAATAGGAAGGTCCGCCACCACGATTCCGTCCCCTGAAGCCCTTGGTGTAGGAAGTGTAATGATGGCGGCCATATTTATGATTCATATTGTCGTTGATATTCGTAAAACTACCGCCCTCAGGGACGCTAGTGTAAGACCTAGCCCTGAGGGCGGCTGCTCCAATCTGCGCCCAGTCCTCTTCGTCCGTTAGGTCTGCCTCGTCCCAGTCTCCGTCAATCGGTATTTCATCCTCAGGAGCTTCGGACGAGGAGCAATAAGAGGATGCCCTATCATCCCCGTCGCCGTCGAGAGACATTTTGTCCGCCTCGTGGTCTGCGTAATCGAAATCAGAATGGGAGAATACAGCTGAATCCCCTGCCATGGACGAGCCATACTGGCCGGAACAGTCCCTTATCTTTCGACCAGGAGCAGTGGCCGGGAACTGAATTCTCTCGTGGCAATATGATGATGGCACACTACCAGGAGGGGATGCGGGGTTATCTCCTCCGCTGCTGCTGGGATGTCGGGGTGGCTGGTTACGACGCCGCGCCTCCCACCGGCCCCATCCGACTTTTTCAAATTCGACATCACCATCGACCCCTGCGCCTTCACCATTGTCGTTGCCTCGACCTTCCAGGGCACCCACAACCAGTCTGCGTGCTTTGGCCGGAGGGATCCTGGAGAAACCTGGTACCGACGCGGTCAGGTATCCAATGATGTGTCGTATAGCAAGGGGGCCATGGTTCAAAAGGATGTCGGGGAGATGGTTATTAGCCAGCATTCGTGGGGAGATCGGGTCCGACCCGGTCAGGGAGCTCAGGTTCTCGGCCACCAAGGGAGTATGATGGTGCTGGTCCTGGCTTTTCGCGTGGTCGACAGCGTCCTGCAGGTCAATATCGGAATCCACATGCAGGGAGGCATAGGGAGAGGAATCTGGGAGGTTCGAGTGGAGGTTTTTGAAGCCATTCGAGTATATGTTCGGGGAGACAGAGTGCGGTGGAGTAGGCAACATAGCGGGCTGGCCATGACGATGGTGACGAGTCTGGACAGCCACAAAGCTGTCCCTACCGGAAGCGAAGCCACTGTCACGCGGCTTGGGAATCTCAACGGAGGCGGTCTTGCTAGCAAGAGCCATGGCAATGCTGGACGAAGCTGGACGAGTCGCCATGATTGCAGATATAAGGTGAATTGGTTTTAGTCTGTTGATGATAGCAAGAGTGTCCTGAATTAGCAGTGAGTCACACAAAGTAGGTATACACTTTGCACGCCAAAAAATAGAGACAATGAGGATTAAAAGAAATATTGAAAGAAACATGACCACCAGTCCAAGTCAATACAGATGCAGTGATGAAAAAGACAGGTGCAGTGACACAGCAGGAAGAGACTGAGAAAGACAGAAGATATTAAAACAGTGAATGAGAGTGAAAGAGCATAAAAACATACACCAGTCAAGAATATCCACAGTTAAGTTCAAATGGTTAAACGTGAAGGGGAAAAGTGAAGTCGAGAAGGGCTAGAAGCTCAAGGCTCAAGTAGTATGCGACAAGAAAAAGAGGAGAAGCAAGGATGGAGGTTGAATCACAAATGACGGGGTCTAGCTGACAGGACTGTCACTTGAATAAGATGGAGATGCTAGAAGACGAAATGAAGGAAGAAGAAGAAGAAGAAGAAGAAAAAGAAGAGATAAGCCGAGATAAAAGAAAACCCGGCTTGATTAGATAGGTGAAGAAAGAGAATAAGAAGGGAACACTCGCAGTCTGTGGTGAATTCAGCTGATGGTTGATGACGTTTGATGTTGATGTTGACCAAAAGAAGAACGGAGGAGAGAAAGAAAAAGAAAAGTTGCCCTAACCATGGAGAGTCACGACAAGGTAGCGTGTGTGCAGGTGGGTACTTCCCCATACAAAGAACTGAGGAGAGGTACCTGGGCGTTCATGGCAACAACCCGAACATGGGGTCTAACATCGATGAAGGCGTGCATCGTGGAACTGGCTGTGATTGGCTGCGATCGGAAGGGTAATGTATTATCACGTGATATAGATACCCGCGGGCTCTGGAGTAATTTATCGGTATTGGCCTGTATGGGTATCCCGTAATTGCGAAGCCCGAATTGCGAAGCCCGATGACGAAACACAGTGCTGGGTCTGGGCCCCCCATAATCCCGCACAAAGAGATTGTATCGTGTTTGTATCGTATCCCTCTTAAAGTTACCCCTCACCACGAAAATCAGATGACTCTCTTCTTGTCTCTAGAGGTATTCTGTACCGAGCACTGTATTAGATGTATCTTTAACTAGCGCTACAAATTTCTAGCTGCAAGATAACTAGGGACATCCTCTTATCGTTGCTCGGATTGCCCACGTTGATGAATCCTCCATCCAGATCAGGACGGGAGGCCTGAGAGTTGCCTAGCTGCTAAGGTCGCCAAGGAAGAATAGTGAGTGATTAGCTGAGAGAGACCTGAGTGTATTACTTGATCATGTCAAAAAAAATTTTTTTTTTTTTCCTGCTTCTCCTTTGTATATCACTATCCTATGCCTTCTTTGTCTAGGCCCTGAGGAAACAGTTCTCTTGACTGGCACCAGCAGGCATTGTCAATCATCTAAATTTATCACACCGCGATCAATATGTATGTATGTATGTACAGTTCAACACTTGCATGCTCACATACATTGCAATATTAGTTAACTGTTCTACATCACAGAAAAGATCTCCTGTATCTCACCCACCTGTCCAAACAGGCCTACTTTATAAACACACAACTAACTGACGTAACTAATTCACTCCTACAAGGAAACTCTCTACTGAAACATCATATTCAATCTCACGTGCACGGGCTAAATAATTAATTATGTTAATCATTTTTAACAAGAAAGCTTTAAATCAAGAAAGGCTTGGATGAGTCATTCAAACTTATAAAAATGGTCAATTTACTACTCTGTAACTAGTATTTGAGCTGTTGCTCTAACATAAAATATCACTTATATAAGTTTTTTATAAACTATAGAATTAAGAAATGTATTTAAAAAATTCAACAACATTAAAAACTGATTTCTACAATAAAGAATGTTTACTTTATAAATAGTATTTATAAATAAATAAAATTAATCTCTTCAAATCACTAATGTATGAGATATAATTATCTTACTTTTTTAAATTAAAGTATAGTAAAAAAAACTTAAAAACTTAAATTTATAAACTAATATTTTAATTTATTTAAAAAATATATATAACTATAAATATAATTATTAATAAGTTTTTTGTAAAATTTAAAGATTATATATATTAATTTAAATTATAAAATAATAAATAAAATATTAATTAAATTAATTAAATTAATTAATATTTTTAATTAATTATATATATAATTAAAAAAATAAAATTATTATAATAAATTTAAAAATTAATAAATATAAAAAATTATTTAATTTAAAATTATTTATTTTTATTAAAAATAAATTATATTAATTTTATTTATTAAATTTTATATTTTAAATAAAAATTATATTTTTTAAAAAAATTAAATTTAATATAATTTATTATTTGATTAATTTATAATATTTAATTTTAATTTAAATAACTTTTTATAATAATTATATAATTTAATAAATATTATTTAAATAATATATTTTATATAATATTTTTATTATTTATTTTATTAATTATTATAAAATTTAATATATTTATTTTTAATTTTTTAATTATATTATTTAAATTATATTAAAAATTTTATATTTATATAATATTTTTAACTTATTATATATAAAGTTTTTTAATTATAAATATATAAAAACTTAATTTTTAATAATTTTTAATAATTTATAATAATATTAAATAAATTTATAAATTTAATTGATTATAATAGATAATTTTAAATATAAATTTATATTTAATAAATAAATACTTAATTATATTTTGTATTATTATAATTTAAAAAGATCATTTTCTTTTATTTTTAAATATTATTTATTGAATTAACGTCTTTGTTTTTGTAAATGTCAATTTTTATTTATTGATCTTGACATTTGAATATAGTGAATTCACATAGTTGAATATATAAAGTAATAACTAAAATCTTATATGTTCTAGAAGCAGTTTATATATGAAAATTTCCCAGATTTATATCTCTATAGCTAATAAGAGTCTTTTCTCTTGGTTGAGAATTCCAATGCTAAAGTGGTGGCTAGATTCAATGTTTCCAGTAGAGTATGAGGGTTGGGATGAAGTGGTGAGCAGTTGAGTAGTGGATTACGTTGGTGAACTATTGTTGGTGGCTGGGTTGTTTGGCAGGGAGTTGATAAGCCACAGAACGAACACATTTCTTTTTTTAGAACTATTCCCGTTTTAAGGCAGGCTTAATTACATCATTTCTAATATGCTTGAAACCATGGAAACACAATAAACTTGTTTTCCCTCATTGTTCATTGACCTGGAAAATATACATACCCTTGTGTCACACGGTCTATTCTACGTTCCGAAACTGTGTACAGGGACACCTGAGCATTCCCTCTCTTTTCTCTGTTGCAGTTGACTACCTGTATTTTGTTAACCCACCCAGATGTGATTCTCGGTGGGTCGCGGGAGGATCCGGGGGTTGCGAGTGGGCAAGTGGGAGAGTGGAACTCACCCGAGACGGTATTGCGTCATTTCCAAGCCAAGGTGTCCAGTAACTAGGTTTTGTGAGCATTGTGTCTCCCAAGAACACACATGGTGTAGTTTCCTTCACAACTTAACAGAGACACATAGCCAAGCGAATGATGCAGAAGGGGACCTATTGTATAGCGCTCCAGGGACCTTGCGCTCTGGTCCAACGTCTTTTCAGCCCGCCAAAGGAGGTTACCAATATGGTGTAACTAGATGGAAGCTCGGGCAGGAGTTAACCAAGGGATTGTGTTTCTGGGTACCATGTGGGAAATCTCACAGTCTCTACCATCTCTGTCCACTTACCCCAGAGGCTGCTGCTCGATGCGATAACAGTGACTCACCACCCGACGCTCACCAAATTGTAGGATGGTTATCAATCGTATATAAAATTTGGCTAGCTCCTCCAATGTGAGAAGATGAACCATCCGACAGGCTATGACCCGGAGGCGTACGTTTTTAAGGAAATCTCGTTATTTTTATTTTATTTTATTTTATTTTATTTTTTAGACGAGTGGATGAGTTCACTTCACCACAGGATAGAGTGTTATTCGCATGAAGATCTCATTTTATACGCGCGAAGAGGATCTGTTTGGGCTGTATAAGCAGGATTCTTGAGAACTCCTCGCGAGCTATTCTAGGCGATTAGCCTTTACCTTTTTCTTTCATGAAGAATCAATTGATCTTTCATTCCTTTTTCAGGTTTTTTTTTTTTTTTTAAAAAAAAAAAAAAAAAAAAAAAAAAGATACCCAGGTACTGAGGCTAATTAGCGGATTACTCCCTACCAGCCCTAACTGCAGTGCCTTTTTAAGTGGCTACATTTTTATGTGATTGGCCGCTTATGCAGTGTCGCCCGTGCAAATGGGAGGTTTGTATATCTATCTGATAGCACCTTTCCGACAATTAGAACTGGGAGTAGCAACAGTATAATAATAATATTTCTCGTATATTTCAGCTGTCGCTAGAGCCTTCAGGTGAAATCAGCGCGGAGAGTATTCGGTTCCTCGGAGAGGTTACGTAGGTCATGAAAAGTAAGCCCTGCTAACTTAGTCAACCAGAATGCTCTGTCTTGCCCAAATCCCGGGTCTTTTTTTAGAAATGATTTTTTTTTTTTTTTTTAAAAAAAAAAAAAGAAGATATGCAAAGCCTAATGCATTTAGTCGTTGTCATCCGCGAAGACTGATTGCGTTAAGATATATTTTGAGGAGGGATAATAGGATTGGTGTCGATGCCCAAGTTGACTAATCGTAGGCTGTAACTAACTAAATTAACTAGTTAACTAACTCTGTTTCTCAGCAATAGGTCAGGCAATCCATAGAGTGATTGATTAACTATTATCACAAAGTCCAAAATATCATTGGTAGAGAAGGGCTAGAGCTGACACCTAAAATACTACTCATCGAGATGGAGACTAAAGCCAAAATAAAATTCTGGGCTGAATTGGCTGGTCTGCAGCTGAATTTTATTATTTTTTGTGACATCATTTGGAGTTGAGAGATTTGAGTTTGTTTTTGACGAATGAAGGGTAATGAGTCACATCAATGTCTTCATCAAACAATAGTGATGAATCATTCACTGTTTTCAGGCTCCTTTTTTATGCAGGCAGTTATCTAACTATAGATTGTGCAACTAGCTATTGGTTTGAATTTGCCAATATTGCCCAGAGCATATACAAACACTTAATTTCATCTTCATTTTTCACATTTTTTTCAATATAACTGCAGTCTTAGAAATCATTTGATTTCTCAAATATTTATAATTATTTAATCATTCATTGATGATTATAAATTTACTTTTTTTTATCTGTCAAGAGTGAAAATGAAGCAGATATCATACATGCTCATAACAGGAAGGGCGAAGCTGTTGATGCTAAGAAGATCCAGACTTGATAACACATCTTATAGTGATGAGAAGAGGTAAAAAGATGTCAAATATCTAGCCAATCTGCTGGTACATAATGTGAGCTCTTAAAAGTATCACATCAGCTTGATGAATACACGAAAAAGCCCTCTGAAACTGCTTGACTGCATTAAGTAGAAGTGATCTAAATGAGTGTCTTATTCAAGAGCTCGCAGCGGCATTGGTTACAAGTAATTGTCTCAAAAGAAACTTCAGCCAAAGTAAGTTATCTATCTTAATAATTCTGTCAATCTTGTCAAGGTATATGCCACCATCATCGAGAAGCTTGGTCTATGGAAACAATGGACTCTTGCGTTGCCTATTCCTTCAGCTTGTGGAGCGCAGAGAAGGCCAAACAACCTTCATTCTGATTGAGTTTAGTGTTGAATTCTCAGGAGAGAATTTAGAGAAACAGAGGAGTATACGAAGAACCGATACATCCTGCTTAGATCTATCCAATCTAGATCAATTCATGTGGCTAATGAACATATCCAGGCCTATGACCAGAAGCGGATGCGCGATGCTGAAGATCATCTTCGATCTGCCCCCCCTTCCCAGCTCAAATCTCTTTTTCTACATTGCGTCTGTGATGAATCATTTGCCCTCTTTGATATACAGGGAGTTGTCACACTCAGCACAACAGCTCCTCAGCCCATCTATAATAGAGAAAAAAAAGACCTTAGACCGCATTTGATTTCCGCTCTGGATGACATCGCAGTGTTTCAGAAGTTCATCCAGACGCTGGGGAGTTAATATACCCATCACTATAGTTTTGGTTTACATCACCATCAAGTTTTGAATTACGCACCTGGGGGAAACATCAGCCTTTGTCAAATGCTTCGAGGGCACATTTTTGTGATACCGTGTTGGCAAGGCCTAGTACAAGCCGCTCATCTTCTCACCACATGTTCTACCAGCGATATCGACCAGGATCTCGTCTTCCAACATTTTGCCTTTCTAATGTGTACCTGCACAAAAAGCTATGCGAAGATGTACGCGCTATTGTGAGCGTTACGATTTATTATGGTCCTGTGACTTGTTTTGAATAGCCTAGCTAAGATTCGGGGCTCAAGGATCAAATTCAGGTGTGGAGAGTTCACTTCAACTTCTCAGCTAGGGTGGGGCCGTTGCCTGCTACGACCGTTACATGATAATTTGTGCACCTCATTCGCAACAAAGACATATAACTAGTCAATCCTCCTGTAGATACGGCGCAAATCAAAATTCGAATTTTGCTACTCTCGAGTTGAGATAAACATTCAATTTCAACTCTAAATTTGCCCCCTTTTCTCACTTTGGCGAAGAAAAGAAAAAATATGGCATCTAAACGCCCCTTCTTCGTCATCGTTCCTGCTGGATCCCAGAATCCCACCCACTACGGTTACCTTTCTCATCTCCTCCAGCTCGCGGGGTATCCCACTTGCTCAGCTCTGCTTCCCTCTGTGGGAGCCTCGGGAAGGGTCTCCGTTGAGGATGACACGACTTTTATCCGGCATAAGATGCTTCTGCCCATACTGGAGGTCGAGGAGCATGATATCGTCCTTATCATGCATTCGTATAGTGGTGTACCAGGCAGTGCTGCTGCGCAAGGCTTGGGCAAGGTAGAGCGCACTATGCAGGGTAAAAAGGCAGGTGTAATTGGACAGATTTTTATTGCGTCGATGCTGCAAAAGGGAGGGGATGGAACGGATATTTTGACTGCTGCTGGCGGGAGTTTTCCACCACATATTAGGCCTGATGTAAGTTCCAATACTTGCAGTTTCTCTAGTTCAATGTTACTGAAGGCTCTCTGTAGCCTGAGGCCAACGTTCTTCGATGCGATGACCGCATTCCAGTCCTCTACCAAGAGGTCCGCAAGGATCTAGCGGACGCAGTAGCTGCATCGACGATGGCGCAGGGCATGACAGTCTTTACAACTCCAAGTCCAAGAGCGACGTGGGACAGCAAGGAGTACAAGGGACGCGTGGCATATATCCGGGCCTTGAACGATACTAGTATTCCTCTATCAATCCAGCAGATGCTGATTGACAACACTGGTATAGAGTGGATTGTCAGGGACATGGAGAGTGATCATTCTCCGCAACTTTCGCATCCAGATGAGCTTACAGCAACGTTGCTGGAGTTGGCGAAGAAATTTGAAACCCTTTAAGGGGGCAATGCAGGATCGAATCCTGGCAGCTTGTATACCTCACCTCTCTGTAAGGGCCTCTTTATTTACTATCCATGGCTTTACGCCGTTTACTAACTGAGTTCCTATAGAGTACGCTTCATTTGCCCCCAATTTTTTTTATTTTTATTTTTTGGCTTATATATCCTTCTTTCATTGATAACTACAGCCTGCGGAGTATATTAATCTTATTTTAAATTAAGTCTTGACTGAATTCCGATCCCTCAATTAGTTATGAGTATATGGCGTTTCATATTGAATGGAAAATGAAACTTTCATGGACCCTTCTCTTTACACTGTATTAACAGCACTCTCATAAAACAACAATTTGCTTGCATCAATAATCTTTTAAAGATTGACTACTACTACTCTGCTATATATTCTGTCTTTGCGTTGGTACACAAAAAGTCATTAAAATATGTCTAATTTATCATCTCATACGATGAGATATTTATCTCATTTTTGATTTCATTTAATACCTTGTTAGTGTGATGTGGGTGGTTAAAAGTGTATATCCACCACCATCACTTGAGTAGAATTGGACCCAACTTTTTGTAATATTTTCTTCATTTTTATTATTTACTATTTCGATTTTTTGGGAGAGCGATTATGCTGTTCCATGGCTGCATATGAATCCAGATACCACTGTATAATGCTGTGTATATAGTGGGTTGCAGTTGTGACAGAAAGCCCATCAATAATTTGAATTTGAGTAGCTAACAATAGGAATCAAGCCAATGTGAAACCTGCAAGGGGAAAACCAGATTGGTGGGGATATCGCGGCTTGGGTGGTGGTTCGAATAAAAGAGCCCGGCAGAGGGTATGGATCCCTCAGATAGAGCCTCCTGAGCGGAGCGGAAGATCGATTCCCTGGGAAGGCCTCGGCCAGAATAACATATAGATTGTGCTATATAAGTTCACAATCCTCCGTATCATATATCATCTGTCTTTTCAGCATCCATCTCCGCCTCCACTCTAAGCCTTGGAGCCCTATCCCTCCCCCTTTTCCCTGCCTTCGCCACTCTCTCCGCTTTTACTTCCTCTTCCTCTTCCTCCCCCGCCCGCTCCCCCCTTCGGAGTTTTCGCCGTCATCATCCAATCCGGCGTCTCCTTCATCAATCCTCCCATTTCCCTATCCCACAAAACACCCAGACCATTCTTCCTTTCGACAACAAGATCAAAAAACTCAAGCCCGACAATTTTCCTCCCATCCCCATCCATATCCAAACCCTCACTCAAAATAACCCCATTCTCACTCCTCCAAAACGGCACCCCGGCCTCTAACGCTTTCTTCAAATCAATGTATATCAATATCTGCGCATCAGCTCGCATTCCAGAAATCACTCCACCACGACCAGGTGCCATGGTTACAACATGTCCCCCACGTCCCTCAGGTAATACGCTGGATAACGGAGGGCCTGTAGCGAAATGTACATGGTTTCTATTCATGCATTTTAGACCCCCCGAAACTAGAATGGAAGGCCAGGCGCCGTGGTAGGTGCCGTGCACTACGGTGTCCGGGAGGGGTGGGGTGGAGGGGGCTGCATTAGTGCCATCGGTAAGGGAGAGCCTTTGGAGTAGGGAGGACGCTTCGACGGTTTTTATGCTGTGACCTTGCGTGGCGCGGATGAGGTAGTGGGAGGGCTCAGGGTCATTGGCGGTCAGGGCTAGGGCGGTCGCGGTTCTGCTTGCAGTAGAAGCGGAGGAGTCTGTGGGTGTCGCAGTGGCGGAAGGGGAATTTGAAAGAGGTTCATATAGGAGGCCAAATCGTTGCTTGTCGGAAGTTGAGACGGCGCTTAGGATTTCCGGGAGGGTGACCTTTAAGGATTTTAATTTCCTCCATGCTAGCTATGTAGCGCGGTTAATAGATATAAGTCGCATTAGCCAAGTTCTTTTATATCTTTCTGAAGTCCTAGTGCATGGTGAGGAGGGCGGAGACCTAAAACGTGAAGGAGATAATAAGCCAAACATACCACGTCCGCCACATTCGCATACCCATGACTATCGATCTTGACACCTTCTTTCTCCGCTGCGTGTCGTAAGATGTAACTTAATGTTTTGGATACAGTTACTTCCCGACTGGGCCCAGAGCGTCCCGATCCTCGTCCGCGATCTCGTCCACGACCGGAGTGGGACATGCACGGCAGTTTTACTTTACTGTTCTTCTAAGAAGCCCAGCCTGCTGGAATGAATAGGTGTGGAACGACGTCTTTTTTCAGTTTGCCAAAGAGATTTGCCCTTTCCCCTCCCTATATTAATAGCCCTAACAGAAATGCAGCCTTCCTAAATCGAGTTGATGTATGGAGTAGGTTTTGAGTTGGGGGATTTATTGGAAGTGCTTCATCAATCAATGAGCCATGTAGAATCGCAATCAGTACACTGCGTTTGCTTTGATACAGAGAATACTGGAGAATGAAACTCCAAGACCCTTTCTGCCGACCGTATGTTCTTGTATGAGAGCTGTAATAGCATAGTGGCGTCTAATGAGCTTCGTTGTTGGGTAACTATTGGTGGGTATTACGAGCTTCAACAACGGCAAATATCTAGCCCCACTAAATAGTTATATAATTCCGCCCCTGGGGGTTTCCCATGGCTATGAGAAAGGAACTGTCAAGAGTCACTGATATATAGCTGCCTCTAGTTACAATGCTCTACAGACGTTCTACGTCATCATCATTACCATCGACAGGGCAAATGTAATCCAAATCAATCTCCACCAACACGTGATGTATCGAGGGGTCCAGGGGTATCTAATAAAATTCCATAACCAAGACTTTCAGATCATTCAGTTAGCTAACAAATAAAATACCAGCCAAATCAAGCAGACGTCAATGTTGCAAGACACCAATGAATCCTATAAAATCAACTTCCTCGATCACAGATACAGCTGCATTCTGCAACAGGGCAGATCCTATGCTTTTGGAACCAGTCCCTCGCATGGTTGGCATGGAATCCATGGTTACAATTGATGCAAAAGACCACGAATCTTTGCATAACATCATCCCTCTGAGGTTTCCCATTGCCTTGTTGTTTCCCCGTAGTATCGCTCGTAACCGCAGCTCTGGACATGGGATCTATGGTGCCTAGCCACAATGAACAAATTCCGCATCTGGGCATATGCCGCCCACACTTTGGACACACAGTGCCTGACATAGATGTAGTACCCAGAGGGCTTCCTGACGTTGAATGAGAGGCCTCCATGCTGATCGATTGGTTGACTGGGGATTCGGTTCCATCTTGCTGGGAAAGAGGACGGGTGCAATAGTTGCATATTAAACTAATTTGTTGTGGAGGAGGTTTTACCAGACTCCTGCCATCCCAGGTCGCCGCCAGCTTTCGGGATTCAACATCAAACCTGGCCCTATTAAGCTGGAGTTTCCAGGAATTCATTTGCCGTCGATACGTTTCTCTCCAGGCTTTGAATCGTGTACTATTCGGTAGATCTGTAATGAATCGTGGGACGGTATGGCTCATGGCGAGCCCCGGAGTTTGAATGTCGCCAAATTTATTGATGTATGATTGAAATAGGTCCATCGCGGCATGGTCGAGGCCTGTGAGGATCACCCCTTCAATATCCCCCTGGCGTATCACATCCATGGTCACGTCCCGCAAGTAAGATGCAAGTTCTTTATCTGGGAGCCAGCGGAGAGCAACCTCCACCCGGTACCTTAGAGGAAGGGTGGCTTCCTCAATCACAGAATTCCAGTCACCTTTGCTCACAAAGGCTAAAATAGCCCGGGCAAAGGGATCTGTAAGCTCCTGCGCAATCTCCGCACAAGTTTCCTCCCAGTCTGGATCAGGTTCTCCCTTCGTTGCGCCAGCTATAGCCATGGCGAGAAGTTTATGCGCTTGACTAGGCTGGTTTCTTCTAAGGGTCATGTAAGCCAACTTTGGCTCATCTTGGAAAAGAGCCATGGCGGCAGCCTTAGTATGTTGTCGATCTTCGACAAGTTTATTCACTGTCACCTCCAAATCCGCGGTAGACTCTGCAGCTCCAATAATGTGGAGGCACAGCTTACGGTGGGCAGGGAATCGAGAGCTGCATCCCTTGCCCTCAGGAAGGTGAAGTTCCTGGACGAGGTCTAGAATGAGAGTATTTACATCGATAGTTTGATCCAGATCGGAACTAAGCATGCGATTCTTGAAACTCTGGCCTGCATTAATGTCAGAAATCTGGCGAAAACATAGATTTTTATTAGGGGCAACTCTTACCAAGCCTATTATTCCATATGCTGTACACACCTAGATAGTTCATGTCAACAGAATGGATTATCATGCATTCGCTGGACGAGTTTGTTTGGGCGCCTATTTAATTAGTCTGCTGTAAAATCAACGGAAAAAGAAAGCGGAGCACGTACGCCCTACCCAATCCCAAAATTCTAGAAGCCCAGGATCCTTAGACACTAATGCTTTATTCCTCTCACTGTCGACGAGGTAACCCTCCTTGCATCGCAGCCGAGCGACTGACATCCATCTCAAGGCATCATGAACTGTAAGCGGAGAACCAAATGTTCCCGCTGACAGTGATCTCTCCCAGCTTTCTCGGCTGGACAGACATTGAATAGTACCGGGATCGGCGGTAATAGGATCGGGCAGGCTTTGGTTGTCACTAGTTTTATCTTCAGTTTTAATACCTGAAGTATCATTTGATGGAGTGATAAGAGGTGCAGAACGGCTTTGTATTCCTTGTACCACTTGGGATATTCGTGATGGATGTTCTGTTAGGGCGGTTATAAACTTCAAATTGGATTCATGTTCTGCAACCATCCCCCGAGCTAACACGCACTGGGAGGAAAGGTCCATGGGGTACGGCGGTGACGGAAGTGTGAATAAAGCAACAGACCTATTGGCCAAAATGGTAACAGCAGTCGGTTCATTTAACGCGCTGAAGTTTAAAAAATCAAAAGCTGCTACTTTCCGCGAATCGTCATTACTTTGGTCCTGAGGAAAGTAAGGATTTCGAAAGTTTCGGACAGATTTTGTATATAGTTGCTCTGGATAAATTTTGGCCGAATCTTGGCCCAGTGTTTGCTCAAGTGAAGTCCGGTTTTCTTCCGAGATATATTCTTTGGCAATGTCATATGCCTTGAATTCTCCAGCACTTGACAAGGCCCCTAGACGACCCCTTTTTGTTCTAGAGAACCGAAGACTCCATATTGAGGATTTCGAGTCAATGACATTCTTGAATTCCAGGGCTGCCGACAGTTGGCTGGAGTCCGTTGTGGCCATGGCCGCGGATGAAAACCGAGACCCTGAACGGCGGTCCCAAATACGGATGGAAATATCACCAGAGGGATTGCACGACGCAATGTAATTTTGATCCAACCAATCGATTGCTAGATTATGCACACAACAGGTGGAAAATTGCAAGGACGGGTTAACTAAACCCTCTATACACAACAAAATACGTACGTCATTAGCTAGGTAAGATGTTTTGAAGGCGGTGAGGATCGCATACCCCGTAAATCATAAATTCTGACGAACTGGCCATTGACTCCCGTAACCAAGGTATCAGGTTGGTCCTTGAAAAACTTGATGCTGGTAATGGGCTCAGAGCTTGCGAGCTTTCTCAAAGGTTCTAAACCTTGCCTGTCGGATCCGTAACCTCGGGTACTGCTCACTGAGAGGCGCTGGTTGACATCCCAGATATTTAAACAGAAATCGTTTCTCACCTTATCCAGCCCAGCTGCTAACAGACCCCCCTTAGTGCTGAACGCAACAGCATTACAGTACCTTTGATTCCGGATGGGGAAGACAATTGGATTTTGGCTATCATCGTCCATGCGAAGGATAGCTGCCTCTCCCGATGCTTGACCAACCGCGACGAGAGATTCGTCAACTGGAGACCAGTCAAAGGCACGGAAGGCAGGGATCTTGGAATATGAGGCAAGGACATCGTAGTTCAAGCCAGCGCTATCTCCAGAGGTCACTCTGCATAACTTGAACGATTTACCCGATACATCGACATAGAGGAATCTTTGTTCGTCGGTATTGGAGTTTGGCGACCAACGGATTGCCGTCTCCATTTTGCTCATTTGGCAGTACAGTTCATATCACACAAATTGTATAATCGTTCAGCCAGGGTCCAATGCCATTATGCCCGCGAAATTTAGAAAATGAGGCGCGAAGTCTCGGAAACATCAAGAAGTAGAGGCCCATGAAGAGTATCGTCGCGAAAGCGACGTTCAGTCCTGGAGCTTTGATACTGCGCCCCTATGATTGGCTGGCGCAATTGGTGCGCACGGGAACGCAAAACGGCCCGACGCTGATTTCGTTTATGTAACTTAGTTAGGATGACTAATCTGCGGGATCTCAAATAACTATCTTGTTAACTAACTATGATTTTTGGATTGTTTAAGAGAATCTCAAGTCCCGAGGATCAGACAAGACTTTGATTTCTTTCCACTTTCCAACCGGGCAATTAGGAGTAACAGCGTTGGGTTATCTATGATCACGATCGCCAGACCACATTTCTGGCGTATGATCTAAGTTGATTTTAGCCACTTTATAGCTGTCGTTGGTAACCCCGAAAAGCCACTACATTCAGCCTGCGATAAACAAATCCCCATGGATTCAAGTCGGGATCAGGGAAAGCGGAAGGATGCCGGAGATGATTTTATTCCTTTAGTACCTTCGAAGCGACATAGAGGGAATGATCTCGATCCGCAAGAAGCGTTCCCATCAGAACGGGACGAGCGTCTCAACCACCAAGATGGAAAAGACCTGAATAGTGAACCCCGCAAACGGCACAGCAATCCTCAGATACAGAGTCTAAAGTCACATAAAACCTCCCAGTCACGGCGAGATGTCCGTGTTTCTTCTACCGGACGAGCTTCAGCGAAGCAAAACCGTCCCCGCGAACTAGACCTGCCCTCCGCAGGCGAGCTCAGGAACAGGATTAGAGACATCAAACGTCTTTTAAAACGCGCCGATCATCTCCCACCTGGCGTGAAAATAGAGAAAGAAAGAGCGCTGATTGGATACGAAAGAGATTTGGAAATTGTTGAGTCTCGAAAGAATCGAGCTGCAATGATTAAGAAATATCATTTTGTTAGGTTTTTGGGTATGTTTCAAGACCGCACTGGCGAATATTCATCAATACTTTACTTTCGCAAAGCCATGTAAATGCTAAATTGCGTACGTATCCCCACTCTAGAACGAAAAACTGCTACTCGACAGCTCGCAAAACTCATAAAACAGAAAAAGTCCCTCACCAAATCAAATCCAAATCCAAATAAACAAGAGCTCGACGCGCTCGAAAAATATATTTACATTACTGAGGTCGACCTCAACTATGCTATATACAGCCCCTTGACGGAGAAATATATATCCCTCTACCCGAACCAACACCGTGACAAGCAGTCGGCTCCGGAGCAGGAGAATCCAAAGGTTACCGTCAATAATTCTGGAGAGAAGCCACCGCTGTGGTACGCGGTAGAGCAAAGTATGAAGGATGGTACTCTCGACCTATTACGGGAGGGGAGGCTGAAAATTGGCATTTCAGGGCAGAAAAAGACGGCGAAAAATTTGTCGCTGCCGGTTATGGGACGGGAGAATGAGCCTAGCAAGAGAGCTTTATCGACGGCGGAAACAGATATCAAGAAATTTGGGAAGAAAATCAAAAAGGAAATGAACAAGGAGGTGTTCTCCAAACATTCAAAAATGGATGTGGATATTGCTAGAGATGACAACGATAACGATGACGATAGTGACGGCGGGTTCTTTGAGGAATAATTTACATATTATCGGTGAAAGTTCATGCGCCCACTCTTGATCTCATGTCCTCTTCCCCTTATTTACAGCCACACCTTGATGCTCAGTCAGCACCCGCGCCAGAACCTAACGTACGCAGAACGTCAGGCGTGTTTTTTATATCAGTTTAATAAATACCCATCGAAGTACAAGATTCACCCACATCATTACCAACTATTTCATCCTATCTACATTCTATTTACATACCCACCTCATCTTATCTGCTGTATTGCCACTGTTCGTCCTTTCGAAATACTCCAGGGTTTGTAAAATTGGACACCCATAGTTTACTTTACATGCACTCCTAACCCCTAACCCCCAAAAATTTATCAAAAGAAGCAGCATGGCAGTCAGGTGGAGTTTCTCCCCTGTTTACTCCTTCAAACCAAAGAAAAGGATATTGAAGAATAGGAGAGATAAAACGAGCGGAAGACTCCTATTCCATTCTAGATATCAAGTCGCATATATAATTTGGTGGGTCGACAAACATTCCAGGGACGAAGTGATGCAAGTATGTCAAACAGGCAGCAATAGATAAGGGTGAAACATAAAGCTACTTGAGAAGGGGAAATAGGAATATTGAAGAAAGGAGCGCGAGGGTGAAGGTGAAAAAGGAAAACCGGCCAGATTTGGATTGAGGATGACCTTCTACCCCTGTTCTTCATGCTGCTTGAAGGCTTGAATAGTGGATGGGGGAAAAGAATATGCATGTATGCGCCTAATTTAAAATTGAAGCTTTGGGTGAAAGAAGTACAATCCATGGATAACAATCAGGGAGGAGAGAAAATGAGTGGGGAGACACTAGTTACATCACAACTCCCTAACAACATCCATCACTAGTTATTCCTTGCAAAAGTGAAACATTTCAAAATAAAAATAAAAATAGAAATAAAACAAATTAAAATAAATGAAATTATAATAGTAATAAAAACATGTACATGTACATATATATAACAAAAGTAACAATGAAAATCAAAGCACACCATTGACGCAGCAATCACTCATGTACACATGTTACCAGCTGAACCTATCGCTAAATCATCCTAACTTTCACTCCTGTTTTTGTATCCCATTCTACCATCCGATCAGTCATTCCCCCTTTTCCATATCCACCCATCCCTGTATATATGTACGAAGTACTTCGCAATCGTGAAGCACGTAGCCAGGCGGTTTTACTAGCATTGATGTATGCACAACACTTCTGCCATTCATCCATTCATTCAGCCAAAGTAATCAGTAAGCAGGTCATCCATCACCGAGTTCCAGAGACCCAGATATTGCCATCATGGAAATGAAGTAAACGGCGACGGAAATCCGTATACCAACTAGTTATATTTAGGAACACAACTGGCAGAAGAAAATATACAACGAGAGAGACAGCGATTATCTGGAACAATGATAGGCGAAGGAGGCGTCAAAAGGGAACAGTGAGTAAATGCATAAGCCATATATATGCAAAACTTAGTATGAAAGCAAGACAGATGATGGAGAGGAATCCGGCCTGAAAATTTAATTTCGAAGAACAAATAGGGAAAATAAGAAGACAAGTAAAATATAATAAAAAATAAAAAAAATAAAAAAAAAAAAATAAAAAAATTGAAAATAAGAAAAACAAACTTGACCAAGCAGTGAAAGCTTTCTTCAAGTCCCAGAAATTCCATTCCATTCCCAACCCAAAACCTGCAACCAAATTCACATGATCACACATCCTCCACTCCTAGCCCTCCTTCTCCTTCCTCCCAACGGCGCTAACCCCGCAGGCCCATACGCACTCTCATCCCCATCATCCTCTTCAGTATACATGCGTTCCACCTCCCTAGCTCTCCTCCGCCTCCTCCTCGCATCAACCCCTCCAGCCCCATCAGCCCCCGCCTCTTCAGTCGCCATCATATAATCCGCCCACTTGCGCTCAAGCCTCATAGCACCCGCTAAGTTCCCACGCAGCACGCGCTTCGTGTGTTCGTTAACCATCATCTGCCAACCGTAGAAGCATTTCAGGTCTATGATTTCTTTGGGGTATAGGATGGTGGCACTGGGGGGGAAGGTGGACGGGTCGTCGGTTATGGTTATGGGGTGAATGTTGTAGGGTGTATGGGGTAAGAAGGTGGTTGTTGAGACTGTGGTAGTTGTATAGGAAGAGGGTGTGGATGAGAGAGATTGGCTGGATTCGGTAGGGGATTTGGCAGTGGTGGGGGGATTGATGGCTCGCTGGCGGGGGACGTATGTGTTGCTGGACAGCACTTCGCGGACACCGGCCCAGGTGACATTTCCGCAGTCGAAGACGGCGACTCTGAAACCCAGTTTTGGGAAGCTATTTCCAAATCCGCGCTTGCGGGCTTGACTGCAAAGTTCCATGAGAGTGAGATCGGAGACCCTTGTGTTGTCGAGATCGAGGGAGCGGATGGAGGAGCAGTTTTTTAGCAACTGCAGCACTCCAGTATCACCTATTCTTTCGCAGAAGCTGAGGTTTAGATGCTGCAGAGTTGCAGCGCATGGCGCTTTGGACAATTCAATGAGAAAGGTGTTAGTTAGCTTGTCCAATTCCTCGAGATCGAGATGCGTAAGGCGTGGGGTGGAGCGGAGGACATCTAGGAGCGCTTCATCCCCTATATTAGGACATTGTGAAAGTTGCAGCCCTTCCAACAAGGGAAGGTTGTGCGCAAGACTTTTGATTCCCACATCAGTCAGGGATCGGCAGCGAGATAAATCAAGATGCTTCAGCTTCCGCGGTGGTACGACAGCTCGGTCTGTTAAGAGATCTATTTCCGGGTTAATACCTTCCATAAGGATCTTCAAGCTCATATCTGATAGAGAGGAACAATGGGATAGTATCAGTCTTTCAAGGCTATTTTCTTCAAATAACTGCTGCTGCAGCTGGTGGTTGTCAAATCCGGAAAGTTCATTAACACGTAAATCCCTAAGATGAGGACAGGAAGCAACAATTCGTTTCAAACCCTTCGCATCCACCCCCTTGCACCAAGAAATGTCGAGGAGCTCCAAATTGGGACAGCTTTGGGAAATAATTCTCATAGAGCAATTGTTCACTATTGCCAGTCCGGACAGATCGATATGGACCAGCTTGGGATTCTTCCTGAGTAACAAATGAAGCGTGTTCCGGTCAATCCTGGAATCCCTGATGCAAATGTTGGCGAGATTCCGACAAACATCAGCTATTCGTTCTCCATGAGACTGCCATGCGTCTTCCAGCTGGGTGCATCCACGAAGATTCAAGTCTCTCAGAAAGGGGCCTGCAGCGGTAATAACTTTTACCAACGCCTCACTTGGAATATCAGTGTAGTAGGTCGATGCATCTAGTCTTGCCCATAGCTGCCCATCAAAACACATCTTGTTCCACGATTTTGATACTCGAGAGCATCTGAAGAGATCTTTGGCGGGGAGATACTGTAAAATAGCCATTTTGATTTCTTCCGGCATATCTGCCCAGAATTCAAAGTGAGACTTTTGCGGTGGCGCCGTTTCCCCGACGGCATCTTTCATTTCACAACTATCTTCGTCAACCTCCATTGAACTAGGGAGTATGCCGCTTCTGGATGTGGGCCGCACATCTGCGGGGAGTGGTACAGTAATTTGGGGCCAGCTATTGGCCGCAGCAGCAACAGCAGTGTCCGAGAATACCATTCGGATTGGGGTGTTGTTCTCGTCCTGCACCGTTTGCCTATCTGAAGGGATATTATTTGGTGCAGTGGATAGGCACTTATAGATCTGTGGTGAGCTTGAGTTGCCAAAGCATTGTGAATATGACGGTGAGCTTAGAGAGACACAGGACATGGAAGGATTCCCAAGACGCCGAGAGCCAAGGGAAGAAGAACGTTTTCTGCCTGTTCGTACAAGGGAAGGACTTGATGACATTCGCTGCAGTCCTTTTAGGAGTCTCTGATGACCCTTGAGTTTGGTAGGGGTGCCTGGCTGGTTATCTCCTGACGATCCAGAGCTCATTGATGTTGCCATACCGGGAGATTTCCCCTCCTCGTTGGGAAGCGTGGAGGCCAATGTGAGTCGTGTCCGTCTGATTTATTATAATGCAGAGTGCGATCGAGTTTGGGGATGTAGATTAGGTACGGAATATGGCTTTCAACAGCCACCACCGGCGGGTGAGGAGATGAGACAAAGGGGGATGCGCAAGAAGGATACAGGGGGGAACGGAAACGACGGATAGGTTTGTTGTATATCGAAACCAGCTCGATAGCATACAATAAAAGATATAAAGAGAATACAGGGATAAAGAAGCTCCCAGGGCGCACAGACGGTCTAGAGTTTAGCTGGGACACAGGTGTCTCTACTGCAGTCACCGACATGCATAACCAGCGAGGAGATGAAGTTGGCAACCAGATGACGCAGGAAGCCCAACCCACGACCCAAAGGGGTAAAGAGAAACGACCTCCGGCAAGTCTGCTGCGTCTTATGGAGGTAGGATGATTGAATTGAGGAGAGAAAAAGTGTAGGGAGAGAGGGAGAGAGGTCAGTCTGCGGTTAGACTTAAAAAGAAGACGGGGGACGGTTGGGGAAGTTGATGAGGTCAGTCACTATTCTCCAACAACGGAACCGAGTCAACCTTAATTAATGAGTGTGTACTGTTTGGCCACGGGATGGGAAAGAAAATTAAGATCGAAAGAAACGGTAAAACGCGGAGAGGGGGCAGAACAGATCGGTGCTCTAATGGGCGGAGATAGGAAAGCGGAGATGGATAGGGAGAGATCATGTATTCATAGGCAGCTGGTTAGTAGTGGTGGGGTCAGAGGATGGGAGATCATGACCGTCTGATGACCATGGATGGAGGTGGACCTGTCATGTCAATAGCAAAGCAGACCAAAGCGTACCACGACCATCAGCAGGCCTGTAGCTGTGGGTGTGTACGTATGAATGTGAATGGTCCAGAGAAGGAGATAGGGAAAACAAGAGGGGGAGTGGGGGAAGTTCAGCAGATATCGGAGTCGGTGGTTAGTTCCAGCGTTAAACTAGCCGTTGGTGGAATTCCGTATTTGAATCTAACACTTGAGGTTTTGGTAGCTAACTTAGTTTATAAAATTAGGCTAAACAGAGCGGTTTAGGGAGGAAACGCCTAATAATAAGCATATGAAGTTACTCACTAACCAGGAGACATAAAACTATTTCACCCTTGATGTCTTATATATCTAGTTGGTGGTCATTCATCTTATTCTTATAATTACATTTAGTTACCGCGGAGGATAGTTGACTGACTAGTTAGCCGAATAGTTATCATCTTCTCCACCCCGTCTCATATCGTCGTTATCGATAACGATAAAAGCGTTCAAAGACTGGTCCCCGCAGTCAATCTCCTCGCACCTCTCATCTCAATCTCAATCTCAATATCCATGGACATGTCTCAACTGCTCATCCATGCTCCATATTATTTTTCTTACTTATATGACGACCACCCAAAATTAACCTGTGATCTAAACCAAATGACCCTGGTTTTAAGTATGGAACGCTATTTTTTTTTTTTTTTTTTTTTTTTTTTTTTTTTTGGGGCCATCGTACCCATTGTTTTTGCCTTGAGAGTGTGTCACCCGCCCAGTTAAATTTAAGTCGATTGCCTCTTTACGTAACCCATGTGATTCTTCTTCTTCCTATTTTATCTTGAGCGAATGAAGGATAACTGATGGTCCAAAAAGACAGCATCATTATCTGTCATTCTTGTATGTGTGTATGTTTGTACATACATGTGGAGGTAGCTTAGATTGGATTTTTCTGTCATGTAGATTCCCCTCGGCAGCCCTTGCAAGCTCTACTGAGATCCGCTTGGAACCTGCACCGGTCGGGAAAAAGGATGCGAGAAGTATGTACTTTTACATTTTGCTAGGTGTCAAATTTAGGTAATGGGTATGCTGAGACTGGAAAGTTAAAATGTATTAAATTGGATCAAATCGAACCAAGTGGTTGTGGTATCTCGCGCATATAAATAAAACATGTATACGCGTCTATCAAAATTAACTAGTATCAAACATCAACGGTAATAACAGAAATGGTGATGATGATGATGATGATGATGATGATGATGATGATGATGATGATGATGATGATGATGATGATGATGATGATTGATAGGGATGATAACGGTAATGACCCAAAAAGGAAAGAAAAAGGATTTTGAAATTTGACTCTATCCCATTTATTCATCCGTAGGCTTGGGGGAAAAAAAGGGGGAAAGTGAGGGTGAAGAAGAAATGACATGCAAGTTACCTCAAGAAGGTAGGGCTGGAACGTGGGCCTCACTGAGATGATGATAAGGTGAAGAAGAAGAAGAAGAAGAAGAAGAAGGAGAAGACGATGATGATGGTGACGGTGACGGTGACAGCTAGGTGGTGGTAGAAATGGTGGAAAAGATGAAAACGAGACAAGTTAGATGAAACAGAAAATAAAAATGCTGCCCTCATCAGCTAAGTTTCGACATCCTGACTGGTTAATTCTTCACCGTTCTCTTTTCCCAGCGACATGGATTTCAACGCATGGTACGACCCGGTATGCTCGAGCAGTCATTATGCACCATGCATCTCCTGAAACGAGTCGATTCCACACATCGTAGTCTTACCGAGATACAGCTAGCTACTTCCAGAGAAGCCCGTAGTTGCCGAGCAAAAAGATATATATCTGTAAGTTTGTGAATATGTCATTGTGCAGTCAAAAATCTCCTGAGTGGCCGCAAAATTGCTAGAGTCAACCATTTTTTCATCTCGAATCTCCGTCAGGCTATACAGACGCAATCGCAATTGAAGCTGTAACCGCTGCTGGCCGCATCCATGGATGCTGTATGACTTCCTCAATGGTAAGTCGGCGTTCTACATCACGATCGAGCATTTTTCGAACCAAATCGATGCAATCTTCCGAGAAGGGAAGATAAGGCACGCGCAACGGGTGGTCAAGGATCTCGTCGACATTGTAAAATGGATTCTCTTTGTAAACGATGGTGTAAAGGAGGATTCCGAGGGCCCAGACGTCTTGCTCCTTGCCACCGTATGACTTGCCTTGGAGGACTTCGGGGGCGGCGTAGTCTGTGGTTTTTCGTAGCTTTATTTTAGCATGCCTTCTTTGCTTCCTTTCCTTTTTTGGAAGTTTGGGGGGAAAACGGGAGTTACTTGGTGAAAACACCAATGGAGGCCCATAACGACAACACTGTATGTGTGACAAAATACGTACCTATTGTGCCAACAAAGACGTCAAATGGTCCTTTGTTGAGATAAGCAGCGCTCCCAAAGTCGATCAGCTTGATCCGCCCTTTCCCGTCAAGAATGACATTTTCATCCTTGATGTCACGATGCACAACCCGCGCTTTTGTGTGCAGGTGGTGAATAGCATCGACGACCTGATAGAAGATATTCCGGCACTCGTTCTCATCCATACTTGACCGCAGCTCAATGTAGTCAAATAGATCCATACCTGGGAGTCCATGCGGAACCATTTCTATGTAGTAGTTAAGGTCATCTTCGAAAAAGCCTTCCATCTCGACGATATTGGGATGTTTGAGGCCGTCGCGGCGCAGGAAATCCAGCACATGGATTTCTAACGGGACAGTTCCTAGACGCCGGTCCCGCGTCCAAGTATCGACCAAGATTCGCTTCTTGGTTACGTATTTAAGAACTACTTTCTTTTCGGGGTTTCTCTTGCAGCGGGCCAGTTTCACTTGACCGTAAGCGCCTTGACCCATGTCCTCCAGGATGACATATTCTGATATCGATTTCTTTCTTGTTATTCCCTTCTCTGAAGTAGCGGGTCTCACTTCGGGTATTAGCTGTACGGGCTTATCTGTCAGAGGTTCTGACGCAGCTTCGCTGAGTTGCTGAGACAATAGAAACGGATTTTGGTTCTCGATAGAAGGAGTATCACTGCGTGGGATTTCATTTGGCGGTAATATCGGTGACCGCTGTCCTGGAGAAGGCTGCGGAGGGGCGGAAGCAATGTTGGCAGAGAATGGTTCAGGATGCCGGTCTTTTTCTTGCAGTATGGAGTGAAGTTGCCGTGAATAGGTTATCCACAGCGCATATACAACTTCAGTTACGGCAACCGGCACCCCATGGTCATCGCCCAGTAGCGGCTGCTCGTCGATATCGCTTGTTGAGTTTCCAGGGAATATGGTTTCGCTTTTTACGACACGCATTTGCACGTCAACCATAATCTCTGCTCCGTCACGGTGACGAGCTGGAAGGCCAGAGGGTCTCAAAAACAGGGATGCCGCATTGACTTTGCCTTCCCGAAGGACGGACATAGCCCTCGCCCTTCGGAAGCTATGCTCAGGAATTACCATCCCATCAACTAATGAAACGCCGTCTTCGTCCGTCAAAATGCTGAGGTATTCATCAAAATGTGGGATCAAATCCGTAATCGCAAACCCCTTGGTGTGTTCCTGGCCAAAAAGTGCAGCAGAAAACACAGAATTGGCGTTGATAACACACAAGGTTGCTGGAGACACAACCATGATTCCGGCAATGTGAGGGAAATGGGAGATGCGTAGATGATATGGATTGGACAACTCGGTAATGGTAATGGGTATAGACGCTTTATTTTGAGTCAGAGTGGTAAAATACCTCAATTCAACAATCTTGGCGAAAATGTGATCTCTGAAATTTTCATGCTGCCGTTGCGGGATATTCGGGATTATATCTGTAATGGGTATTCCACGTTTGAGCACCTTTTTACCCCAAATGGGCTCAATATCACCACGAATTTCTACCAGTCGTTCGTCATCACCAAAGAGCAAATCAATAGTATTTTCCACAATCTCTTCTAGAACCCATATTAAGCCTTGTCGTATTTCCATAACCCAGACACTAGCTGAACCCGTTACCCCGTTCCTTTTCTGGATTGGTACGACATCGCCACACAACAGAACCCCGCGAGACTTGTTGGGGGAATGATTCAGATTTTTGGCAAGTCTAGAGTTGAAACAACTAGAACCACTGCCATCCTCTGGCGTCGCTCTTGGAGAATTCTTTGCGTGAGAAGGTGGCTTACTGAGCAATTGCGCCGTTACCCCGTTCCCCATACCCAGAGTGCGTGTATTGACTGTGTTTACCGTAGATTTGACCGGCGGATCGGTTTTCCCCGAAGAACCAGGAGGAATTTTTCGCAACTTAGATTCCAGCCATTGCCTTCTTTCCTTCTGGACCAAGGTAAGAATACTCAGCTTTTTCAGCTCGCCTTGAGTCACGCCAAAGCCGAGACATGCTAGGTCATTGGCAGCAAGAATGGTCCAGGGCGCTTTGGATTCTGTTGTAAAAACATCCTGTGAAACAGGAGACCATTTACTACTATGGGTGTGAACACTTGAAACACCGCCTCCTAGACCATAGGACGATATACCAGTTGGGGATATCATGCCTCCAGTAGTGTAAGGCTTATCTAGGGCCTCCGTGAGTTTGTTTTGAAGTGAAACTAACCCCAGGTCCGTGTAGGTTCTCTTTAAGCTAACGCGCCTCGATAAAGGTACAGACCTCATGCCCCCTTTTTGAGATACTGGGTAATCTCCAGCAACAGGACTTAAAAATTTCTCACCACTTATTTGTTGAGATGCAGTCCCATTTTCCGCAGAAGGTTCGCCAGTGGTCTCAGATAAATAGTTGGTATTTGAGAAAGCCTTCTCAAATATATTATCCCCTTCCACATCGGGCGGTCCTGTGAGAGGTCCTCCTGCTAAACCTGTATGCTCGTCTTGATTTTCATTACGTTCCAGGAGATTCGCCTTAGCAACCAGTTCCATCATACGCTGTATATCCGTATCACCACTGAGTCGAGCCTGAGCATTGGCAAGGTGAACATTGCTTGCGGCAAAACCAAAACGACCTTTCATAAAATCAAGTGACCGTTTTAGTATATTTTGCCGATTGTGAAAGAACTCTTCAGATTGCTGGGCAAATGAGAATGAGTGAAGGGATTCAGACGGAAATCTATGAAGGTCTTCCAGGCTGGGAGTGGTTTGGTCAAGTGGGTAATGCATGGACGGGGAGCGGGAGGAGGACACGCTGTGAGGGGCGGTAGGGGAGATGATCGAGGGCGCCGACGTGTTTGGTAGAGTATGAACCCTGGATAGTGGTTGCTGTCGGATACGTGGTAGACCTGAGGGCCCGGGGCCGTGGTCATGTTCGAGTAGAGGGGACCTGTTAGAATAGGATGAGTTGATGAGCACCTAAGATGCCACGAATGTTAGAGAAATGATGTAGAGCTAATGCGGACCTTGACATGAAATCATATTCCGATGAACCAACATCCAATGAGTGTCCTTTTTGTAAATGGTCTCCATCATCCGTAGTTCGCAGTGAAAGGCTTCTGGAGCCCGATATCATTTTAGGTACGGTTGGAGGTGACTCCGGAGAAGAAAAGGGTAGGCTCAGCTCGTCTGTCTCAGAAATTGTCAGTCACAGGTGTGAAAGGTTTCCCATTTCATATGTTAGACAAGAAATTTAGTTAGAGATTTGGTCAGATTATTCAAGCGGTTGGTTGGAAAATTGTTCAATATCCTATCCTTGAAGTGCGACGTTGGCGGGATCTTTGAGGATGGCTCTACACACATCCAGAAATAAGATGTATGTGTACCTATCTCCTTACTCATGACCGCTATTCTTCCCGTGGTCTATCGTTGTCCCCCGCACCGTAAACCTGACCAGAGTGCGGAGTTGGATTTCGGGGGCAATGTAATATATGTTGCCGCATCGCAAGTCCCAGAGAGAAAGAACAGAGCATGCTCGCACTAACCATGATCCTCAAATGTAGGCCCTGACGACCCCATGTCCGACAGTCGGACCATCGACAAACGCTTTTGGGAGTTAAAACAAACCCACGCTAGGCGCGGTAAATCTGGGCCGCCCGCTCTATCGATAGCTCTGCCTAGGAAACATGTGTTGGTTCCTCACGCGCACTGCGTTGGCGGCAAGAGAAAACCCCGCCGCGGGAATTCCTATGTATTTCTGGCGTCACTTGCTTTGAACGGGGCCGTCCTGAATCAGCCGTCTGTGTTTCGTGCGATGCTCCGGTTGGAGGAGTTGGGTGGCGGGTACCGAGTTATCCGCGGCTGTCTATATCTCGAGAGGTTCGATGATGAGGTGGGGGAGATGGGGTAGATGGGTCGATTTTGATAAAGACTTTGCAATCTGGCATAGCCAGAAAGTAAGATTAACTAAGGTCTGAAGCTACCAAGGATTCATTCCATATCCTTTTTCCAAGTATTGGTGGGATCAACATCTGGGTGGATCGTACCAAAACAGAGCAGCAGCCGTCAGTGGCGGGGATAGAACGTGGAGAGGGGAGAGACACTGATATTATTATCTTCAATCTCTATGGATTAAGTAGGAGACATAAGAAACAAGCAGTTGACTGCAACCGTCAAATGACTTTGTCTTTTGGTGCGATTTCCGAGAAGAATATTTTAACTAGTCGCCACTTTTGCCCAAGGCTGGGAACACAGAGGTTTTAAACAGCCCTGGAACTGAAAACGTGCAGCAAAAAATGAAAAAAAAAAAAAAAAAAAAAAAAAAAAAAAAAAGGGGGTAAAAAGAAAGCAACATCCGAGTTTCGAGAGAAATAGGAATAATTAATATCCAGAGATCGAACCTCCCCGCGGCCCCGCGCTGGGTCCTTTTGTTTATCTCATATGGGGGGATGGGGATAAGATACAGACTTGAGAAAGAGACTAAGGGAGAAGCAACATGTGCCAACATCAAGCGCCGTTGTCACTAGCGACGGTGCCTATGCAGGCTGCCGTCATACACACCTCTATTTTAAATGCTTGGTTGAACCGTTTTAAGCTCTACTCCGTACAGAAAAGACAAATATCGGAGGAACGGGATATGTACGGGTGTACGCGAGAGGATGCAGTCGATACATATGGAGTGCCAAAACTGGGAACCCGCCAGCCACAGATCACCATCCGGATATTGACCTCATGGTTGGATTTTGCGCCAAGTGGGAGTCGTGTCAGTCATTCCACTATTGAGCCCGAGATAGCTATGGTTTCTTGCTGTACATGATGCTTGGTGATTGATGTCCTGACATCTATATTCATACAGCAGCGAGATTACCAAGCTCAATACGCCATTCCTAACGTCCTAGGATTAGTTATTAGCGTCAATAGCATTACTTATTGGCAGTATATACAACTATTAAGTTAACTACAGACTGTACGTGACATTAAAGAACATAAGGCATGTCTAATCATAAACAACTAAATGACAATCAAACACAGGAATATCTAATGAAAATCGTCACAAAAAATCCGTAATCCGGTAGGGGCGAGTGAAGCCGATGTTCTGACAATTCCCGCTACAAGGAGGTTTATGAAGATGATAGAAAATCAACGGTTGAAATAGGGGAAATGCGTATATCCGAGGACGCAAAATCGAACACCTGGTTTCGTATCGCAACCCTACTGCTCCCAGACTCATACATTAAGACATTATCGGGGCTTTTCTGACCCCCGGCGTAATCGATTAAGAAGTACACTTCCTTCTTCCTCTCCAGTCACGTTCTTCTTCCCATCATCCCGAGCGTCGCCGAAGAGCGTGGCCGAATTGCGGTTCTGCTCCGGAAGAGGAAACACGGATGTGATAAACCCAGATCGCTGCTTGTCATCACCCAACATCCACGAAAATGAGGTCTCTGAAAGTGGCGCACGTGTTGTAGGAGGAGATCGAAAAGATGCCGGTTTCGACATATTTTCAACTTCAGAAACTCTTGTTTCAGTAAAAGGATGGAGAGGTGATTTCTTTTCTGCCCTCTGCTCACCGTTGGGGGTGTTGCTTTCTTTTCTCGCCAAAGCCGTTGTTGCTATTTTCACATGCTCTCCTAAAACAGGCTCGCTTGAATGGGCGCTCACTGCCGCCCACGTGGTTGGCTTTGTCTCTTCAGGAATCGGCATTGTGGAGTCTTCCAGGTATACCTGGACAAATTGTATTTTTGCCAGAGCAAGATCCATGGCTTCCGTTGTTGATCTGTTTGGGTCTTCCTGTTGAATGCGCAGCTCGTTGATGGCGTTACCTAGCATTCTAGCTAACGCCTGGTTCCGTATCTCAAGAGCCGAAATCCTGTCATTCAATTCACGCTCCGTCGCAAAGTTCATGGGTGGCGAGTAGGTTGATTCACGGCTCGAGCTTTCAGTCTGCAGGACCTGTGGTGTGCTTGCGCTGGATTGGATGATTTGTATATTCCGTCTAGCTTCGACCATCGCGCCTCGGACAGCATTGGTGACGCCCCATCCCTCTGTCCGGCGATGGAGCCCTTCTGACACGTCCTGGAATAAGGAATCAAGACGACGTTGGTGAATTCGTACGGAAGAAACGCTCGGAGACGTACTACCGCTGGATGCCGGACCCCACTCTCGGCTTGTGGACTTCTTCCTGCCAGGAGTGAATCGCGGGACTGTAAAAGAGATTCGTGGCTTCCACTGTTTGTTTGAATCAGGTGTTTTGCCGGAATACTTTCGTATAAGTAATGCTGCGCCTTCGCAGTCTTGGTTTTGCTCAAGAAATAGTGCATCTTCCACAAATGTAATTGGTTTATAGGGCATTGGCGACGGATATTGGAGTAGCAATCGTAGGGAGGAAGAGTAATCCGCGTCGAGTACTAATCGAGATATCAGCCGTGAACATCAACTAAATTTTGAAGTAAACGCTTACATTGCCACCTGATCCGTAGGAGCATCGCGACGCATATTGCATCTATGAGCTCAATTCGCATGTTTTCAGCAAACAACATATCCCAAATACTAAGTACTTCTTTGAATGGGAATTCCCGCCCGAATAACAGGCGGATCCAGCGGCTATATGATTAAGATTAATATGCACTCCTAGACTTTAAGTTGTCCGATACTCACGTTAAAAATATCTGTGGAAGTATATCCGTGCTCTGCAAATGATTTGCCAACTCCAGATCAACCACCCTGAGCACAACCTGATGTATATACCGGCTCCGGGCAACGATGGGTGAGACATCTGATTGAACCCCAGGGAACCTTTTCGGCTCTTGTTCATAAAATAGTTTTGCCGTTTGCATGATGGCGCAGAAAATAGTGAAAGCATCGTGTTCAACATAATCCGAATCAAGGACTTGGAGCATTATGTCTCCGTCATCAGCAGGAGGGGTTGTAGTGTGTATTAATTCCTTGTTAATTGCATCATGTTCTAAAACCCACAAGATAGGTGCTAGCAACTCGTGCATCCCTTGTCGGTAGCCAAGGTCGGGATTCAATTTTGTATATACGAACAGTATGTCCAGCATCCTTGCTTTTGTCGTGGGTTCTCGAAAGAAATAATTCTCTTGCATGCACCTCTCCACGTCCTGGTGTATTTCCGCCCGTATCGCCTCATCTCGTCGCAGGGATTGCCACGGAGACTGTTGAAATAACCAAGTTAGGCAAAAGCTCCAGGATATACATATGTATGAACGGTCTAAAATCCGAAATCACACCTCATCATCCTCCGCCAATGGGTCTGCTGTAGACGGCAGGTCATTCGGATCGTTAATGTATTTCAGGAAGTGTTCTCGCAGGGACAGATATGCTGCTCTCGAATCAGATATCTTTCCGGGCCATGAAGAGGTATCGACGGTTTGGTGGAGGAGAAACGCCTGGCCACTGTTCAGATTTCCGACCTATGGTAGATCATGGAGTCTGTCGACTTTGGAAGCAAAGCTAACCTTCCAACACACCGATCTTAATCCATCTTCACACGGATTACTGCCATCTTTGTTTCTCAATGATTGCTTAAGCTCGGCCAACGAAGAATTAGCGTTGAAGAGGGAATCCCACCGTTTTCTGCGACGTTGGTTAACTCAAAATGAAGAGAAATGTAAGAATGACAGGTATCTTACCGAGCTTCATCCACAGCTTTCATCGCATCGTTGAATTATGTGTCCTGCTCCCTTATTGAGCAGGCTAGTGAGCAGCAATGTTTGTTGCTGGATGATGGCTCTTGGCGGCCTTGAGGTCAATTTAAGATCCCAAAAACCCGTGACTTCGCGACGAATTGCCCCTTGAACCCGCCAATCCTTAAAATGGGCTTGGCGCCTCCTCTTCTTCCACTTGTCATGAAAAATACAAAACGAGTGAATTCAACGTCTTCATGGAACCATCAATAAGAAGTTCAATATTGTGCATAGCATTTCTAATTGAATTTGTTCCGCCCCCAATGATGAGGTTGGTGAAAATTAACCTGCATATTGCTACCACATCGTGGCATCATCATATTTAACCTTCACGATACTGAACCGCGCATGATTTCGAGATTGAGCTTGTCCTTGACTTGTCTACCATGTCGGCCGATCTACTGGCTGCGTTCGGTGAGCCGAACAACACTGTGCAACAAATTCGGCCATCTCAGAGGCCGGTTCCCGGGAATGCCGGAGCTGAGCGCCTTTTGGACGTAGATACCGATACAGGAGGACCTTGGGGTTCCTGCTTATCTACCTCTCGAGAAGCCCGCATCTTAAGCAGGCGTGATAGTGAACAGGTTTCTCGATCTCATACGCCAGTGTCAGGTCTAAAATCAGCTCAGATAGAACCATTTCGCTCAGATAATACTCTCTGGCGGGACGAAGGGGGCACGGATGTGCTATTTGATGCATCTACAGAAGATGTTGCAAGCGATGACGGTACGGATGAACGTGGGGAGTTTGAGTCAGCAAAGCCATCTCTTGACAATAATAATGTTGACATACTGGACTGGGATATTAGCAACAAGAATGATTCAAATACCCCTTTTAATATCATTAAAAGTACGACTACAAAATTTCAACAGCAGACATTGGTTGATCGACCTGCCGATGTTAAGGTCCATAACCAGGTTGCGGTGGATGAGGCAGCGGCGTCTGACATGAAGTCCTGGGATACCGAGAGGACAAGTTTCGAACCGAGTGTCCGTAATATCACAGCCCCGTCGAAGTCAGACCCCTTAGATGATGATGTTGACTGGGGAGATTTCACAGATGCGGCCTGGCCTGAAAATACTGCTGCTACAACCCCTCTGGAACAATCCAAGGCTCAGACTAACCTAGTCGAGGCCATAATACCAGAATCAAAAAACCCATTATCTATGCAGAGTCCCTTGAGTTCCGTGCCGATTCGCGCCAA